GAGTGCTTTTGTCTTCATTGGGTGGTACAATGTGGCATCAGAAGGCTGTCACAGAAGCAAATGTGTACCAACTCTCCCCAATATATATAGTTACCATGTAGGGATCAGTTATGTGTTTGCAATTGAGAGTAAGATCACATATATTCTCATCTAATTCTGACCTCACTGTCATTCCCTTCTCTGGCTTTCTTCACACTAGCCAGAGAATGCTGTTTTGCCTTTAGAAATACATTTTGTAGGACCAGGGGTGTATCTTAGTTGGCAGTATGTTTGTCTAGCATGCATGAAACCCTGGGTTCAACCCCCAGCATTACATAAACTAGACATCCTTGTGTGGTGCCTGCCTGTAATCTCAGCACTCTGGAGGTGGAGAAGGAAGGCTTGGAAGTTCAAGTTCAACCTTGGGTTGCAGAGTGAGTCTGAAGCTGGCCTGAGATACTTGAGATGCAATCTGAGAGAGGAGGAAGGAAGGCAGGGTGGCAGGGACTGAAGGAGGTAAAATTTAAAGCACAGACGTTTTCTAAGTAGCCCATCTGTGCACACACACACTTTATCTGTTAGGCAGTTATTTCCTCTGGTTTGGACATGACCACTGCCATCTTGAATCAGAGCAGCTGTGATTCCCCAACAGGAGACTCTTTGGAGACCATGTGGATAAATATTCCCTTATAAAGACCCTCACAAGGCCCCTCCCTGGGTCATGTGATAGATGAACAGTTAACTGGGAGATTCTCTGGTAGATTCCCCAATGAATTGTCCAGGGAACTTTGAGGTACTGCAACTACCTGGGTGTCACCCATGTCCTTTGGCTCACATTTTACTCGTGCTCCCTGTACTGGAGCTCCCTGTACTGGAGCAAGTTAACACACTGACACACCAAGGTGAACTTTGAGGAAATTTCTTTGGTCTGACTGTGCCCTCGATAGCTGTGTTGAATAGACTTTATATCTGCCCAGGAAATATTCATCTCAGCTTTCTCATCTGCAATGGAGTCATAACAGGCTCTCCCTGGCAGGTATGGGGAGGACATGTGGGTCCAGTGCCAGCAGGCACTAAGCACAGAAGTGAGGACATGAAGGACGCAGGTGTTCACATCATTACAAATGGGCTACCATTTGGTAACTGGTGGTTTCCATAGTCTCCTTTACAAGAGGGACCTCTACAAGGACAGCTGTCACTTGTATTGCAAGGACCCCTGTAGTCTGAGCGTTGATCTGTGTTGTGCTGTCCCCTCTGCCATTCATCATGTACCACAGCAAGTATCCTTACCTAATGAACCATCTCTCCAGTCCCTCATGGCTGCTTTCTATTGACACGAAATATAGCTTTTTTTGATCTCACTTGGCTCCCCACAGATAGAACATTTTATACCCATTGTTTCATAAAGAACTTTGTCTTTCTTCCATGATGTCTGCTTTGTGTCTTGTGTCAGGGCTAATAGGCTAGGCCAACAATTCTGGTAATTCTTCCAATCCCCTTCTTCTGTCTTTGGTTCCCAAGCGTGGTTTCCCACACTCTACAGAGTTCACATGACATCCATCCCCTGCTCAGAAGATGAGTGTTCAGCGGTTTCCCCAGTAGTGAACTGTATTGTTCCACAGTACTTATTGTTCCTCCATGGTTTGTTTGTTTGTTTGTTTAATTTTTAACAACCGCATTTACTGTATTCTTCCTGGGCTAAAAGAGGTAACTGAGCATGTAGAGGAAACACCAAAAATGCCCCTGACTGCTGGTGTCCTACAGTCTCACACTGTCTTAGTTCCTCTTGGCACTATATGGCAAGTCACCTGACAGAAACAACAAGGAGAAGGATTTATATTGGCTCTTGGCTTAAAAGCGTATGTTTCATCTTGGCAGGAAAGCACAATGGGATCTGTTGTGGAGAGCTTGGACAGTGACCCACCTCTGCTAGCCATGCTTCCTTCCTCAGATATTCCGTAGCCTCCCAAAACAGTTCCACCAGCTAGCGGGCAAGTGTTCCTATATTAAGAGTGTAGGGTATCTTTTAGTTTCAAAAAGTAACACACTTGTCCGTCCATTCATCCATCTGTCCATCCATCCATCCATCCATCCATCCATCCATCCATCCATCCATCCGTCCGTCCGTCCATCCATTGCTTCTTCATTTAAGCTGATCTGGTTTGATGGTAGGCCCTAAGGTCCAAAGTATCTTTATAGCTTTCCGAAAAGGCTATTCCACCATTTCATTCTGCAGATATTTACTGCAGACCTACTATATGCCAGTTAGATACAAATAAATGTTCAGGACTGAAGATACACAGGCAGACAAACTCGGGGTCCCTGCCACTACACAGAGTTGGGGTAGATAATGATCTTGAACCACCTCCCAGTTGATCCCATGGCTCCATATCTACTACTAGTAGTCTCCTGGAATCAGGTTACCTCCTTAGCCCTGTTTCCTTAAACTGTAATGGAGCCTGTTTCCTGTGGGTTTCTTTAATGTCCCTCTGTAGGGAGGAAACAATCCATCTCTAATTATTGTCAATTGTTCTTCCAAATTTGTTATCCGGATTTGAGACCACCAGTTTCAGGCTGCAGTTGAAGCGAGCAGGCAGCAGCCTTTACGGCTTCTGTCTCAAATTAAAATGGTTGCCCCTCCTGGTAATATCTGCCTTTTCTTTTTCCACAGTTTTGCTCATATGTTGCTTATAAATCTTAACTCTTAAGTATGAATCTTTGGCTCCTGGTTAAGTGAAATATTTTATTTAGTTCAGCCAAAGCCAAGCTTGGGGCAGCCTGGGAACACTTAGGCACCTCACCGAGCCCCAACACGCTGAGTCTCTCTTTGGGGTTTTCTTCTTTGGGGCTATTTGGTTCTAGGGAAAGTGGGCGAGTTCTTTTCAGCACTGGCACGATAGTTAGTCTCAGCCTTGTCTTTTTGGGCAGAGCATTCTCTGTGATCCCCAAAGGCCTTGCTGTGGCATAATCCAAAATGCCCTCTCTCTGGAACCCTGTCTGCAGCAGCATCTACAGCTCTAATTTCTGCTTGTAATCTGACGAAGGGGTTTGATTTGTTGCAGCCTTTTGCTCTGTGTTCACTGTAAGCTCCAAGACACACGTGCCTGGTTGCTCACTCTAGCCCTGCACTCTGGAAATTTGCAACCCAATTTTGCTTAGACCGGCCCATGGCCATTGCTGGTTAGGAATTAGCTGTCAAATCAGGCTGGTGGTGTCCCAGTGTTCTGTGTGCAACCATGTTCAGAAACCCAGCGCTTTCTAGCTGCCTGGGAGCCTTCAGATTTTCTGAGAAACAAGGTAAGATGGGAAATATGGAAAATGCATTTCTGTGTTTATTTTCTAACGTCTTTGCTGTGGACTCCAGCATTCTCCAGCATCCAGCTAGTCATCTAGCTGACTGTCAGGAAGGATGCTTTAACTATCCGAGTCCCTAACTACGCTTGTAATTGCTGAAAATGTCTTTTTTCTCTTTCTACGGCTAAACCACAAAAGTATTTATACAGCAACATTGCTAATTAAATTCGAAACTTTGTATCAAATTCTAGATATGCTGCACTGTACCTAAAATATTCTCTGAAACTACATATCTTGCATGCAAGCTTCCTTCCAGCAGGCAGTGGTGAGAGAGTCTTTTTTAACTCTTTATGTGAGACAGTTTGGAGAAATTACTGTCTTTCCAGTGCCTTCTTTTCCAGCCCAGAGAAAGAAGTGCTTCCTGTCTGGTTGCTGTAGTGTTGTTACATATGTGTGCTGAACAAAAGTGAGATGCTGTGGGTATTTAAATGCCAATTTGAAATCCAGCCATTATCTACCCAGAATATTTCATAGCACAAGTGCTCTGTTGGGACTAGATTAGAACAATTCAGGAACTTCCTTTTATGACATTTGTTAGCTTTTTTTAAAAAAATCAGAATTGTCTTTCTTCAGATTTATGACAGGATGCATGTGTGTGCTTGGAATAAAACCTGGATGTCTAATTGGCTTTATACTCTTCATTTCACTATGCCTCCCTGTTGACCCTAATTTCCAGTTTCTAGGACTTGAGATGTGTTTTGATGGATAAAGAAGTGTTGGCATCTGCTATATCTTGTACCTTTACCCGACCCCTTGGGCTCTGATTCTAAATAGTAGACCATAAAGATACTTCCTTGGGGGAAGGAGTTTCTGTCCCAGGTCTGTTTGTGTTTGGTCACTGTGTCTGAAGCTGTAAACCAGATTGCTGGCTGTGAGACCATCATAAATCCTGTCTCCACCTGGTTTTCATTAACACGTTCACCCTGGATGTGTGATTTTCCTGTGTGGAATTGTTACCAGCTGTCTTTACATCATATATCCTATCTTCAAAAATAAATGAGTCTGTCCAGTGGGATTGCTCCGCAGGCAGCTCTGGTGGCCAAATTCAATGACTTGAGTTCAATTCTAAGGATGAGCATGGTAGAAAGAGAGAACCAACTCCTGCAGGTTGTCCTCCAACCTCCACACGCATACCCACACACCATGCACAGTGTTGTCTAGATCTGAACACAGGCAGAAAAGACACAACAGAGGCACCCGTTGCTCTTCAGCACCCCTCCCACCTCTCCACCCTCTCTAATGCAATCTCTAATCTACCAGGCACAGTACCTCATTATCTCTGGTTATCTTGACCCAATTCACTTAATTATTTCTCTTTTCCCCCTCCTCAGTATATAACTGTTACTTGATATTTAACTGTTTCAAGTTTGGGTTTTTTTTTTTTTCTGTAATAAGTTGACATGGCTTTAAAGGATGTCAGAATATTTGTTTAACCCGTGAGCTGTACAGAGGCTTCTTCAGAAGGGAAGAAAGCAAACCAGGGCTTTGTGCGTGAGATTTCTGTGTCAAGTTTGATCCTCAGAAGATGTCAGTTTTGTTATTTGGTTAATAATGTCATTTTTACTTAAATTACAAGTTCAAGGGGAATTTGAAAGGTATCTCGCCGTCTGAATGTTCTTAAGTGACTGTGTAACTATTTTCACTTTGTGTTATTTCTTTTTCCTTAGATTTCAACAAGAAAAACCTAGGCTTCATTGGATTCCCACATCAAAGAAGATCTGAAAGGTAATGTGGCCTTCGTTCAAGAACTCTTATGTTTTGGAGATACATGGCCGCTTTTAAGATAATCCCTTAAATCCCTCCTTGTTTCCTTCTCAAGAGCCGGGAATAGAAAGAACCCATGGCTTCACACATGCTAGGCAAATGCTTCCCAGTGACCTTCATGCCCAGCACCCCCGGGGCTCTTACATTTCTAACCCATGAGTTTGTTTGGCTGTATGTTTTTGCCCAGGATATTATTTAGTTATATCAAGAGCTGGTGGCGTGACTCAGTGGTATAGCTTCTACCTAGCCTGTGCAAAGTACCAGGTTCAATTCCAAAATGTGTGTGTGAGTATGTGTGTGCATCTGTCTGTCTGTCTGTGTAAAGCAAGCTGACTGAACAGTATTCCCAGGCAATAGTGACTCTTCTATACACCATGCTGTTCCTGGGAACCAGTTGGGGAATAGAATGTGTGCTTGTGTCGCTTGTAATTAATTGCCATTTTAAGGAGGTGTTAGCTCTCTTTTCCTCTCACCTACCTCTTTTGGATCTGTTCATCAGGGAGCTTTTGATTTTTTAAGAAAAATCTTAACCTTGTTCCTCCTGTCATTTTTTTCCTCCCACCCATGCTCCTTTCTTACTTCCCTCTATGCATCTACCCACCTGTCCTTGTGAGTACTTGTTGTCAATTTCCTTGTCCTCTGGGCATTATGGGTGTCCATCTGATTTACCTACTGAGCTCAGACCCTGTAGCACATTGCTGACGTACGATAATGCAACAGTGAAAGGGTGTGCCACACAAGGTGGCTGCATTGGGTTCTTCCCTGTGGGCCACGGCCCACACACAGTCAGACAATAGTAAGTGCAGGTGCAGACATCCCTGATACACTCAGGCTTGGCTCACAACGGGTACATCATTGTGGTAGGAGGACCAACCCCCGTGCCAGCCCCACTTCCCCTCACATGCTCTTGTCCCTAATCCATTGTGGCCCTGACACTTTGCTACAAAGGACTTGGTCTTTCACATCATAGTAATGAGTTTTTTGAATCTGCATTTGAAATTGCAGAGTGGATCCTATAAACACACTACACAGGAAAGTCTCCGTGCTGTATGCCATGCTCATCTAAGTATAAAATGAATTAGAACCATGGCTCAGGATAACAGTTAACAAAAATACAAATGTATTATTTGAGTCACCCATAGTTCATGTCAATGGCATGGTTTAATGGCACCTTAGGCTTATTCCCTAACCTTTCCCTAGCAGATTATCTTAACTGTGATAAATCTAATAAATAAGAAAAAGAAAGATAAGGACAAGGAGAGAGGAGGGAGGCATTTTTTATTCAAGGATAGAAAAAGTATAAATTGGAAGGGAAACACTTTGGTGACCTTGACTCAATGGGACACTGGAGTTAATAAGCCATTGCTATTATTTCTTGTGAACTGACTACAAGTGGCAGGACACCAAATGTAAAACGTGCCAGTGGCTGAAGGATCTGTATGTGTACAAGAAATATAGTATGCTAGACACTGGCAAAAAAAAAAAAAAGCCTAAATTATGAGGCAACAGGGTTTCACCTCCCCTGTCTTCTAATTTACCTTTTGGTAATTAGCAAGAAGCCATCCCTGGTAGAAATATTCAAACTGCAGCAGGAAATTGCAAAGCAGGCAGGCCATTGACCAGGCATTTAGACTCCTCCAAGTTGTGCTGAGCTGGAGTCTTGTGGAGTTACTGGGGATGGTAGCTGGAGTTAGGGTCAGTGTACAGGGAAGTATGAGGACATGCTCCATTCCTTTACTAGTCTCCCCTTTCACTTACAAGTTTTCACCGGCCTTTCCTCCCCTTTGCCCACGCTGCTATTTTATTTAGTGGTTTGAAAGCACATGTAATGTTAATATAATTTATCACTGGAAAAAGCATCCAGGTTTCCTCCATAAGCTACTGGCCTTCTGAGGCAGAGGTTGTAGCCCAGGAAGGTTGGGTGTGTAAACCTAACATACTCGGCTGTTCTGGGATCAAGAGGGTGTTACCAGTCTGAATAGAGGGATACAATTCACAGGTTTGGCTATGTTTTGTGTTTTTTTTTTTTCCACCACACACAAGAAGCCACTAATACCAGTGCAATTACATAGCTGAACACATATATACAAATTATCATATTAACATAAATGTAAATAAATGAAAAGGTAATCAGTATAAAACACACATTTATGTTTGAATGACAGCATGGTTTTGTTTGTTTGTTTGGTTGGTTGGTTTTTGGTTTTTTTGAGACAGGTTTTCTCTGTGGCTTTTGGAGTCTGTCCTGGAACTAGCTCTTGTAGACCAGGCTGGCCTTGAACTCACAGAGATCCGCCTGCCTCTGCCTCTGCCTCCCGAGTGCTGGGACTAAAGGTGTGTGCCACCACCAGCAGCATTGTTTTTATGCTTAGTGTTTTTGCTATTGATTCAACATCTTGACTTAATGCTGTATTAATGGAATAACTTTTAGCTTTCAGAAAGAGTTTTGCTTAGACGATAAAGAAGAGCCTGCCAACCACAGGAGAGGCCTTGATGCCAAGTGTTTAGCTGCACTCCCTAAAGGTAAGATCTTCTCTAAACTGAGCCTGGGCACAGCTCTCTATGACACTTGCACTGAAGGATTCTCACTAGCCTCCAGCCTGTGGTCTCCTCCATGTGCCTTCCTCCCCTCTCCAAGCAGTAGCTCTGGTTTAGGAGCCTTTCCTGAATTTTGCACCACCATCTTTCAGGGGTTTATTCTTCCCTCCAGTTGATGCTGGAGGTTGAATGAAGAGGAGCCACTAAGAGAGACCCTACTAGTCTTTCTTTGGCCTTTAGCCTTCCTGAGGGGGCTGGGAGTGTGACTCAGTTGGTAGAGTGTTTGCCCAGCAGTCAGGAAACCTGGCTTTAATATCCAGCACCACATAACCCAGGCTTGATGGCACCTGGGGGATAGGTAAAACTCTGTCTCGAGGGGAAAAAATTGTTAGAGAGCAGAGAAATGGCTCAGCAGGGGTTGAGAGCACTTTTGGGGGCAGAGGACTTGGGTTTGGTTCCCAACACCCATATGTTGGCTCACAACTGTAGCTCCAGTTCCTGACCTACGTAGGCACCAGGCATCAACATGGTGCACATACATATATGCTGGAAAAGTATTCATATGCTTAGAGAGAGAGAGAGAGAGAGAGAGAGAGAGAGAGAGCATAAAGTTGGGTGGGTAGGGAAGTGGAGAGGATCTGGAAAGAGTTGGGTGGGGGAAATAATAAAAATGTATTGTATGAATTTTTTATTAAAATATAAAATTGAATGATTTTTTTAAAAAAATTCAAGCCAGCTTTCTCTAAAGGCAACTGGTCAGCTGGTCTCCTAGGCTCCCATCCTTCTCCATCTGCCCTTCTCCCCTCCCCACTGCTGCTCACTTTCCCTCCCTGCTTCTTCCCAATGTATGGGATTTATGCTCAGTAGCTTGCAGCTTATTTATTTATTTATTTTTCTGAAACAGGGTCTCACTATATAGCCCTGGCTGTTCTTGAACTCATAGCGTTCTACCTGCCTTTGCCTCCCAAGTGCTAGGACTAAAGGCATCACTGATCTGGCCTTCTTTTAGGCAACAGAGCTGATGGATACTATTAAGTCATCATTTAAAGTTTTTAAAATATCTTATTACACTTACTAATTTGTGTAAGTGTGTATCGGTGTATATGTTCCAGAGAATGATTTAGAAATCAAGGGACAACCCCTGTGGAGATGAATTTAGTTCTTTCTTTCCACCATGCGGGTCCTAGGGATTGAGCTCTGACCACTGAGCCACCTGAGCAGCCTCAACAGTCACCTTTTCTGGGTTATGCTTTCCATTGGCAACAGCTGCACATGTGTTGAGCTATCTGCACCTGCTCTAAACTGGCTCCCTCTGCTTTTTGCCTCTGACAGGACTTAAACATGGCCTGTTCATTACTTTCCAACAATAACTATAGCATGAGGAATGATCACTTGGATCCAAAATGTCTGTATCCAAACAGAGCAATGGAGCCCTTCCTTTAGAAAAATCAAGTTAAAGAAAGAACAGGTTTTTGTGGGTTTCTCCCCTCCCCTCTGCTCTGAAAGGGAAAAAAGGTTTCAAAGAAATTAGATCAGAAGACATTTTTTTTAATAGAAATCAAATCCAGTTTCAAAGGCGCATGGATGACCTGGAATGCATCCCAAAGAGCTAAGCAGACGAAGATGATATGCCCAGACAGAGTCTTCTAAGGATGGGCACTTGAAAACGTTCCAAGGCTTGGCTGGAGAGCAGAACTTAACAAAGCATACTTCAGTTTTTCCATATCTATACAGCTGCCAGGTGAAATGTATGCTTTATTGTGTACTGCACCCAAGGAATAATGTGGAGAGATACAAGGATATAAGTAAGATTTCATATGAAGAGTGGCTAAAATTGTAGCACCACCGCCCCCATCTGGGGGAAATGTGTCCCCAAGATTCCCAGTATACATCTGAAACTGGGACAGTGCTAATACTCAGTGTGCCACTTTCCTTCCTGTGATTGTATATGTGTGATCACATTTAATTTATAGGTTGGGCACAGCAAGAGATGACAAATGTACCACACTGAGAGTTAGGTGAATGTGTAGCCTAACTCTTGAAAGACTGGAGACTGTGCCCTTAGTTTGAGAACAAGAGCCTGACACTGTGGAAAGCGGGGCTGGCTGTCACAGCACTGGCACCGCTCCCAGGGTAGGAGGTGGCCCATACTCGAGCTCACACTCACCTTGAGTGTTCAGGAAGGCAGATGGTTAGATACGTTCATGGCAGGACTATGCTGTAGAGAATTCACCCCTGGGTGGCTGTGTGCTCTGGCATGAGATGAAATATCCCTTCAAACTGTTCAGAGTCTTTGTAAAGGACAAAGGCACCCACTTCCACTGAGAAAGCTGTGTTAAACATCTAGGGTTATGACCAAAACTAAGTGTGAAAGGGAACAGTTTGGTTCCGCTGTAGCCGTCAAGTGTTGCCTGATCAGGCACAGATCCACATGGCAAACAAAGCTCATTCCCTGCCAGTGAAAGCCTCCCTCTTCTGTTTTCTCTGCCCCAGTTCCTCTGGATAACTACTTCAGTGAGCAACAGTGTGGTTGGTTAGGAGACAGGGAGAGCTGTTGGTTCCTGAAAACTCATACTGTCATTTCAACATTGAAAACACAGAAGGTTATTGACCCGTTTCATTCCAAAGTTCATACAGTTGATTATGAAATAAGTAGTTTTTCCGAATTGAAGTGTTTAACCATATGTACTAAATAGATTTGTGTTTCTAAACTCATAAGGTTTTAGCCTTCTACTGATGTTGTGCTGTCAGCTTACTGGCTGCACATTAATCTACTGAGATTTTAATTATTGTTTGTGGCCCTGTGGCCCTGCAGTCAGCATCTCACCAGCCACTCAGCCTGGTAGGGCTTCCAGTCCTTCTCCCTGGCTTTGCTGTAGCCACAATACATAGGTTAAACTAAGCCTCTATCATTCTATTTATTTATCAGTAAGACTCAGGAGTCAAAGGCTGGAGTGAAAACCTGCTAGCCTAGAGAGGTTCTATAGCAATTAGCTGGTCCTGTTTTTTCGGCAAGAGGCACTATAAGAGATGAGTCTCTTCCCTTGTCCCAGAACCAAAAGACAGCTCAAGCTCTAGTCCCTGCCCTTTCCTTCCTGTGTGTCTTCTCTATCCAAATTGCTGCCCTCTCTATGGTTAATTCCAGTCAACTAGTTGCTGGCTCTGCCTCCCTGATTCAAAGTAAACTTTATTTAACAATCTCGAAGTGTCACAGTGCAATCAAAATATCCCACGACACTCGACAGCACCTCAAAAAATGTTCCCAAGCCCCACCTCGGCCCCAGGCTTCTTCCTGCCTTAGTTTTGATGTCCTTGATTAGGAGCAGGTGTGATAGGAAGATCTGGTCTCCTCAGCAGAATCTGTCAGTGTTCTGCTTGTTGGCTCTTAGCAGTATAATGCTGACAAACTAATGAATTACAAACCCGGGCTGTGTTATTTGTGTTGTTTGTTCATCACTGGCCTGTACTTGGGCTCTCAGACAAGCACTGCACTAGCTGTATCCCAGCACCATTTTATTTCAACAACATAGAGTTTTATGCTTGTTTTTAAGTTTGTAGACACCGCTTTGTTCACTTAGTGAAAGGTTTCTGCTTCTGTAAAAGGGAACATTAAGATGGCTGTTTCTTTTCTCTCTTGGACTCATCATATCATTAACATTCCTGTTGATGAGGGGAATAGAAATCTTTACTACCAAAGGGCCATTGAGATGCCTTAACCCCTGCCACCAAATCTGATGACCCAGAACCTACAGGGTAGAAGGAGAAAGCTGACCCCCAAAAGCTGTCCTCTGGGCCTATACACAGAAGCCGTGGCATACACGAACCTACAAACACACACAGACAAACACATACAAATAAATATAATATATATGTAGATAAAATAAATTTTTGCCTATGTAAACATAATATTAAATAGATTTTCCATTTTAGAATTAAGAAATAGAGGTGCGTCTTGTCTCTAATGTTATTATTAAGATATAGTGGGCTGGAGAGATGGCTCAGAGGATAAGAGCACTGCCTGCTCTTCCAGAGGTCCTAAGTTCAATTCCCAGCAACCACATGGTGGTTTGCAGCCATCTGTAATGAGATCTGGTGCCTTCTCTGACCTGCAGGTATACGTGTAGGCAGAACACTGTATACATAATCAATCAATAAATAAATACACAAAATCTCATTTCTTTTAAAAAAAGATATAGTTCATGCACCACACAGTTCATCCATGTAAACAGCATGCGTCATTGGCTCCTGACACACTCACACAATTGTATGTCCATCACCATAGTCAATATTAGGGTGTCTTCACTATTCCAAAAGAAACCTCATAACTTTGAGCCATTACCCTTCCCTGTGAGTCCTCTAGTTCGGTGGTGTTTACTTCCTGCCTCGTACTGGCACCCTCCTATGAAGTCACGGCAATGTTTAAGTCACCTCCAGTCAGACCTGTGCTCTCAGGCTGTCCCAGGATGGGGAAGAACATGGTCTTGGCAGCATGCTACCACTGACTTTTCTATCCAAGCTTCTGCTATACTTGAGTTTGAGACAGACTAAATTAAGTGCTGTCTTTACCAAAACACCCTAGTCTCTCACAGAGGGTGAAGAACTAACTCTATTTCCCAAGACAAACCCTTGGAAGACCAAATAATCCTGAATACTGGTGGTCATACTCTTCTTACAAAGAATGTCTGGCAAATAGGTGCATGAATGTGAGAACCCTACTCTCCAGTTCCCTTAAAGGCCTTAATTGAAAACTGACCCATGAACTCTTACCAGAAACGGCAAAAGACTCATGGATGCAGAAGGACCATTCAGAATTACTCAAAAGAGCCCATGGCTGTAGCTGTAAAATGGATAATTTAGTTTAATCAAAAATCAATGCATTTGAAAACAGAAAATAATTTTCCTTCCAGGGAAATTAGACCATCTATGGTTGCTAATAGCTGGACTATATGTTGACTAGTATATGGAACCTGTGCTATTTAGAAGTTTCAGTTATGGAACAACATTCAGTCAATTGGATTGATTATGGGTGTTGACTCTTACTTTAGGAAGTATTTCTATTGCTCGTTTTAAGGGAATTCACATTGAAGGATCTTAGGATAAAAAGAAATACTGCAGCTTGCTCTTAAGTGTCTTGAGAGTATAATGAAAGTATTCACAGAAAGGGAAAAGGAATAAAATAACATAGTAAAATGTTGGCATGTCACAAGGGGTGTCTTAGAGAGCTTCTACATCTGAAATCACATAAAAATTGTTTAAAGAGTTTAAAGGGTTAGGGCCAGGATTAGTGTTAGTTTTTTCCTGCATATATGTATATGCATCATGTATGTGCCTAGTTGTTTTCATGTGTGCCTTGAATGTTTTTCCTGAATGTATGTGTGTGTGCCATGTGTGTACCTTATGCCTGCAGAGGTCAGAAGAGGGCATCAGAACCCCAGGAACTGCAGTTACTGATGGTTGTGAGCCTTCTTGTGGGTGCTAGGAATAGAACCTGGGTCTCTTAACTGCCGAGCCATACCTCTATCCCCATCTGCAAAAATTTTAAGGCAAATGGTCATTAAAAAATAAATACCCTACTTCAGTCACTGAGCACAAAGACCATTATGAAAATCACATTTACGTATATGCAGTTTGACTCGTTGTTAAAATGGCCTTTTAAAAAGCAACAACAGAACTTGAAGTGGGTTTTAGCTCAGTGACAGAGACCTTGACTAGTATTCAGGAAGCCCTGAGTTCAATCCCTAGCAGAGCAACAATAGTTACTGATTAATTAGATACCACGTCTTAATTGCCCCTTCAGTGCATTTCTCCTATGAGTCAGCATTTCCTGCTAGCTCCACACTATGTCCTGATAGCCCCTCCTTCTATCCCGGTGGTCTTTTGGCCCTTCCCTCTTTTTCTGCTAACTTCTTGCCTTTAGGCCCTCTTAAGAATTGACATAGTGAAGATAGAGACAGATTAAGAGCCATTCTCTGCCAACTTTGGCCACCTCTCCAAAGAAGCAATTGCTCATCATCTCAGTCTGCCCTGTAGTCAATGTCCTGCTAGAACCTTCAGCCACACCAAAGCATGTCTCCTGGTTCTCCAGACTCTGGGAGAATCACACCATCCTCCTAGATTATAGGTTTGGAGCAAATGTTACCACTTCCTTCCAGCAAAGCTCTAGCAGAGTCTTGGGACCTGATTTCAACTGTGGTTAAAGGAAACATAGTCATGTACTGACAGATGCTTACAGATTAAATGACAGGGTGCAGTAAGAGTGGCTGTGTATGCATGGTAGGAGCTTGCAGATGGCCCTACGGGAGCTGATAGCATATACTTTGCCAAAGTTTTTCAAACTAAAAATTTCAGATACATCAGTAAACATAGCCAAATTTAAGATAGATAGACACTGAAATTCCTGATAAGCAAAACAAACAAAAACAAACTTACTAAAGAGGCCTTGTTGGTTAAGCCTCCTGTGACTGAGTGAGATACCACTCAGTCTTAGCCTGTATGAGTTTACTTGTTAGCCTAACGTGTGACGTGTGTGCAGGGGGCTGTGCGCACACACTTACTTGTTTAGTGTCTCCCTCCTACCGGAAAACAAACTCCAAGGGAGCAGGAAGCTGGTAGTGTAGCATGGGAGCTGAGAACAGCTATTTGAGTCTTCTCTAGTGTGTTGCATGAGTGAATGAAACAAGAGTAGAACCACCAAACACCACACTGTTTTTGTTCTTTTCTGCTCTGTTGTAGTTGCGGAGTTAAGAAAAATCTTCGAGCCAAAGAGAAAAGACTTTTTAGAGATGAAAAGGTAACATACTTGTGTCACTCCTGGTGGGTAGAGACATTTATCGCAGCAGTGATTAACTGGTCCCTTGGCATCATTTTTTTTCCACACTCACTGTGGTTTTCTTTGGTCTACTGTGCAGAAAAGAAAGAATTGCCAGGCGCTTAGAAGGAATAGAAAATGACCCCCAGCCCATCCTGTTGCAGAGCTGCACAGGGCTAGTGACTCATCGACTGCTGGAGGAAGATACACCCAGATACATGCGCGCCACAGACCCTGCCAGCCCCCACACTGGTGAGTATTTGACCATGCTAGACAGGGTGCTTGTCATATCACACCTTCACCTGCTTGATCCTGTGGTACTGGGGAATGAGGTGCCTGACACCAGAATAAAAATACCAACTAAAGCAGCTAAAGGAAGGAAACGTTAACTTTGATTCACAGTTTGAAGGAATAATGTGTCCATCATGACAGGGAAGGCATTAGGCCCGTGGAGCCAGAAACAACTGGTCACAGACACCCATAGTCAGGAGTTGGGGGATGGATGCTATTGCTGCTCCCCTCATTTTTTTTATTTTTCACCTTTTTTTATTCAGTTTAGTGGTGCCACACACATCAGGGTAGATGTTCACTTTTCAATTAAACCTCTGAAAAATACTCCAAATCTAGTCAAGTTGACGATGCATATTAAGCATTACAGCCAACAGTGTGTGGTTTCTTAAGTTTATCGGGCTCCTTTAGAGAGGGGCCCATCAGAGGCACACACGGTGTCCATTTCCCCATACTCTCATGTCTCAGCCCAGAATCTGCTGTCAATGCCTATTAGTAAATGCCTGTTGCTACTCTCAGAATTCATTTCTATTTTCATGTGTGTAAATGTATTGCATATTGATTTGCAACATGCTGAGCATGACTTGGCTTAGTCACTGTTTTGGATGTTAATTACCTGACCTGAACTCAGAGGGAACCATACAATCAGGACTGAGCTTCCCAGCTTGGTTCCAGGCTCTGAAGTGCTGCTTTTCCTAGCCATTGTTTTCCAATTTCCTCTTCAGAGGGAGTTCCTGATCTCATAGCATAATGCCACTGTTTGCTGGTATTGGTGGCTTCTGATAGAGTACTACATGAAAAGCCAAGAATCTATACCCAGAATTCATACCCAGAAACAAACCCTTGCATATATATAATGTCTTCATCCATATAACATTTAATTTAGCCATCAAATATAGTGAGGAAATTAAGGTTTGTTTTAGACATAAGTTATCTAGCTCACACTGGCTTAAACTCACTGTTGCCCTGCTTCGGCCATGTCCTGGTGTTATAGGCATGCACAACCAAGAAAGAATTATTTATTAAGATGTAAGGAATCAAGCTAGCCAAGACATATTCCTCTTTCCATTTCATACCAACCCCAAAGTAAATTCTGGTTAATCTTGTTCTAATTCAAAAGAAGCCATTGGAAACTTGAAAATGTGGGCATGTGTTTCATTCAAGTGGACTTAAAAAACAGATAAAGAAAGCTCCAAATAATGAATGAGTCAGCATTACTTAGAGCCATGTAGAAGTTGATTTCACAGCCTAGCAAGTGACTGAAAGGTCTCAAATGCTCTCATAAATAATCCAACATTTTGAAGCGTACATGTGTTTGCATGTGTGTGGGCAATTGGGAAAAACCACATCTGTAAGTGCAGATACCACTCTGATCAACGTGAAACCACAGCCCATCTCTTTGTAAATCAACAAATGCTCTGGTGTCTACTGCCTTTTTTTTTTTAGAAGAATCTGAACTTGCCCTTTGGCCTCATATGAAATATTAAACTCAGAAACAAAACATAAAAATAAATAAAGGGGAATAAATGCAAAAGATGTTCCCAACATGTACTTAAATACAATGCTTAAATACCCTGGGAGAATGTGGGGATCAGACGCCATGTGGCTCTCTGCTTTCCCACTTTTCCTGGCAAATCCCAGACTCCTTCCATCAGCCAGCCTAGGTGAGCTGGGACCTTCAGGCTGGGCCCTCTGTGAGTGCTAGGCAGTGTGGTGGGCTCTGTGTGTTAAATGGCGGAATGTGCTTTAGCCTGCTATGTTTTAACCTGTGGTCTTCTTGTAGGGCGATCTAATGAAGAGGAAGACACTCCTGGGTCTTCCTTAGAAAAACAAACTCCATCTAAGTACTGCACAGAAACCTCAGGCATCCATAGTTCCAGCTCCATGGATACCCACAGTCTGGAGTCCAAAGCGGAAAGGATCGCAAGGTACAAAGCAGAGAGGAGGCGGCAGCTGGCAGAAAAGTATGGGCTGACTCTGGACCCCGAAGCTGACTCGGAATACTTGTCTCGATATGCCAAGTCTCGGAAGGACCCAGATACAGGTGAGAGACGAGGAAAAGGTGACAAGCAGGAAGAACCGAGCAAGGATATCGGTTCCTTGCACTCCAGAGCAGAGCCAGGCCCCAGGACCAGCTTAATAGAGTCTCAGGACCGCACCTCCCTGGGGAGCAACATGTCTGACCAGGAGCTACTGCTCAACTTGGAGAACCAGCGACGAGTCCAAGAGCCCCCGGTTACAGAAGATGGTTCCCCTGCTTTCTTTTCTGAGCGAGGCACCTCCTTCCCTGAAGTGCCAAGGTCCCCAAAGCAGATGTCCAGCTCACCACTGCAGCAGCCCACCTCCCCAAGCCACCCCAGTGACTCACCAGTGCCTGCGGAGGCCCGAGCCAGGTAAGCCCTGACCGCTTGTTCTGCCTCGGCTATCACAGAGGTCTCCACCAGTCCCCATTCACTGTAGAGATACTTTGTAATTTCTACAGTATCCCAACAAGTTCTACTCAGAGCTAGAAGTTGACCACCCTCTTCAATTCAAGCAAGCAACAGCTTTATGGGTGTTGAGAAGGGCTGGGAACCTGGAGTCAAGAAAATTTATTCTGGGGGAACAATTGTGTGTGACACATAGATATATATACAACACACATATAAGAATGAATGCATATGTATTGTATTGAAGTACATGCTGGGAGCATCTTTTGCTGTGTTCACCGGGATACGGTGGTAAACATCTACTCCGTCTTACATAGCAGTGATGCATCTGCGGCTAACATTTTAGGTGCTGACATTTTATAAGCCCCAAGCCTGTCCTCATGTACTCAGTCATATAGACTTAGACGCTTAGATACCAGCCTCTGAGATAACTAGACTGCATAAGGAGGTCTTTTGAAGACATTTGTTCAGCCTTGGGACTAAAGCACTTGACACTGAGAAACAGAGAGACCCATTCCCACGTATTTTAAAGAGGGGTGTCTTGCCTAGAAGTGCACATTTCATAGAAGTGCTGTGCTCTGTTTGGCTTTATATAAAAGGAAATCATGTGCATATTTTTATTATTACATTTTATTTATTTATTTATTGTGTGTGTGCATATATGTGAACGTGTGCATTCTCAGTGTGATGTATTGTGCTTGTGAAGATCAAAGGACAGCTTGCAAGAGTCTGTTCTCTCCTTCCACCATGAGGGACCTGGTGATCAAACTCAGGTCATCTAGCTTGGTGGCAAATACCATTACCTCCCTAGCTGCCTTACCAATTGGCCCTCTTCATATGATTTGCATGTAGCACAAAGAAACTCAACAGATGCTGACTTAGAAATAAAAAAAAAAGGTCCATCCAAGAAAATGAAGAATCTAATGTCAGATTTTCTTATGACAACTGCTTCCTTGTATGGGAACAATGTGAAATATTACTAGTGAAATAACAGTTTGGGGGCCATTTATATTTGTTTTGGAAGTTTTTAGTATTCCATAAAATGATCGAGAAGATTTTTAAATTAAATGTTGGGTAGAGGGCTGGATGCTGTACGGTCCTTAGCTCATCCTATCACATGCTTGGGAATTGATGCACATTTTATTGTGAAGAAAATGAAGAGTATACATGTGAGGAAATGGGGGGAGGGCTATAAGTCAGGCCCAGCCCCACTTTTTGGATGCTTCCAAACCCTTGGAACTCCAAGTTTTGCATCATCTGAAAAGGCTGCTTTCCAGATGAACTGTTGCTTGTGAATTCAGCAAGGGTGGGTGTGGACACAAAAGTGCCAATACTTTTTAGCCAACAATGTTATTATCAGTGTGGTAGATAACCCTGTGGATTACTCAGCCTTAGGAAATATGAACGCCTGCTCCTAACAAAGTCCTGAATCCCGAACTCTTGTTTAATCCCTTATTCAACTCTTATTTTCTTATTGAGAAACAGGCAGACAGACAAAAGCACACAGTTGTTATTTTCTGAGGGAAAATGTAGAAGCTCACAACCTGGGGTCTCCAGCGGCCATGTGCCTGAGCATCACCTGTCACCTCATGTGTGTTATGTAACTAAAAGGAGGAGAAGGAAATTCAGCTTGACAACCTGTTCTCAGAGCTGACTTTCTGGAAAGGCCTTGTTGGTTACCCCTATTCACTGCACCCCAGTCCCTATCCAGCACTTTGTCTCCCAGATTGTGTCCTTAGTGACTTGAACCCAACAGTGGAGATGTCATGGAGAACAGAGCTGAAACTTGACCTTAGAAGAGTTTCCCTTTGGTGGGTTATAGTCTGAACAGGGCTGGCCTTGGGTACCTGGGGACAAGTAAATCATACCCCTTGCCCTGAGACAAGGTAACATTCCCTACGTAGACCAGGCTGGCCTTGAGACCTTGCAGAGACCTGCCCATCTTTGCCTCTGGAGTGCTGGGGCTACAGACACATCCTTCTTACCTGCTACAGAGCCAGCGTTTGATGGCCTGAATCATCTATGTTACTTCTCAGAGTTAATCTACCTGTGTATTCTGCACATACCAGAGCTCAATGACATATATCAGATTAGCCTAAGTGTGAGCTTGTATCTGCCCCCACTGGGTGACTTATTCAGTAATGAAACAACAATGTCTACTGCCTAGGCAGGTGAAGCACAGGATAGACACAGGAGTTCTTCCTTTGCTGTTTGCTCATCCCTCAACGAGAGTGTTGAGTCCTGAAACAATCTCTAGAGCCTCCGGGCCTCATGGTTCTGGTTGCAGCTCATTTGTCCACACCCTGTTGAGATATCTGCAGCAAAGTGTAGCACCTGGCATTCATCCTGCCTTGACTCCTACCAGCTCCCGCTAGCAGCTCTCTACCATGTCCTGTGGACATCAGGGCAGAGCCTAGGAAGCTGGTCTCAGATCCATTCTCCAAAGAGGACCCTTCTGCTGCTCCTCACAGATCCATTCTGTTACAAGGGAAATCATGGTCACTTCCCTGCTACACCAAATATCTGCTGTTCAACCTTACCCTGCCAACTTTGGCTGCTAATAAAGGTTAACTCATTCCTTTTGGGTTTTCACTTAATTCTGTCCTTACTGGCAAGTGGCAGTTCCAATGAATAAAATGCCAGCCTGTAATATATAGCAGTTGATGATTGCAAGTGAGACTTCCAGTGTAAACTGTGTCCAGGACTGTGGCCATTGCCTTACCCACACTTGTGTACAAAGCAGCAGTCTCCCACACACGTGACTCATCAGTTGGCTAAACTGAATGATGTGACAGAATCCCACCCTTCTGTAATCAAAGCTGGTGAATCTTTGCTGTTGCAAAGGTTTTGTTTGTTTTCTTTTACTTTCGAAACAGGGTTTCACTGGGTAACTCTGGCTGGCTACAGATGGGGTGTTCTTCCTGGGGATACTGTTCTCCTCTGATCAATCACTTCCAAAGGCCAATCAAAGGCCAAGCCATTGATCTGGAGTTACTTCTTCCTTGTTCTGCCCCCAGTGACTCCCAGTGGAGGTAGCCTCTGCACAGCAGGGTCTTGGCTCACCCTCAACGCCCCTCCCCAATAAAATTTAAGTCTGGAGAATGTAGCTTAGTTGGTAGAGTGCTTATCTAATGCACATGAAGCCCAGGTTCAATCCCCAGCACATTATGAACCGGTCTGTGCCGTGCTGGTTCATGCCTGTAATCCTAGGACTGGGAAGGTAGAGGCAGGAGTAACAACCATTCAAGTTCATCCATGGCTGCTGCACTAATTCAGGGGAGGCTTTCTGTGTTTTCTTTGCAAATCATAAAAAGACACAGTCTGTGGTAGGGTTATTCTTCCTGTAGCTACTTTACATTAACAGGCTCTCCATGCCTATACTTTTTATCAAAAGTATCTCAGCTTGTTCTTAATGACTCTGATACATTCTGCCTTGCATTGTGTCTGACTAAGTGTTAGGGGATAAATGTGTAAGTTGAATGCCATCTTAATGGGATACAAGAATTTTCGTGATTAGGATGAGTCCCTTTTCACTCTGTTGCCTGTGTTGCCTCTCAGAGTATTTAATGCTGTACTTAATACCTAATAGGAGTTTAATAAACATTTGCCCGATTGTTGACCAGGTTACAAAATGACATCTGTAACTGATAAAGAAAAAAAAAAACATAAAAGGGAACTGTGTAACAGCAGATAAGAGATTCACTCTCACCAAGTTTCTTTTTATTTACTTCCTTTGTTTGGTGTGTATCCATTTGCATGGACACTTTTTACATTTGTCTGTCTACCTGTGTGCCTCAGTGAAACTTATGGAAGTTAAGTTGCCTTACGTTTTAATCCCAACTTCTCATAAGTGTGACCAGAGTATGACTATAACAGACTCATGTCGGTGACTAAAACTCATTTTTTCTAGTGGCCTTAGATTTATTTATTTTCACTTCTTGCTTTTTGTGGCTAGCCAAATGACCCAGAAATTCCAAGAAGTAAATGTAAACTCTAAAGGTACCATGTACATTATGTCTTTTCAAAATCCAGTTTGAGCATCTTAACTAAAAGCAACCTTTGGGTTTTGCTTATAGTGAAATGTTATGAGTGTGGGCATCAGCATTTTAATAGTAATGTCCTAAAGTTTTGTTTCTTGTGCATGGTAGTACAGGGAAGGCCACCCATGAGTGGTTTCTGCAAAAAGATGCCGAAGGGGATACACCTTCACTTATCAACTGGCCTTCCAGGTACAGCCCAGGTTGGAAGTGTGTGGCTAATGCATGGTGGATGTCTTCCTACTCCTGTCACCTCTCCTTGCTCTGCCACACTTAGCTGACACTTGTGCTCCTCTCCCTCTTTGCAACGCCTCTGAAAACCATGTTTTCAAAAATAAGCTGCTTCCTAGTCGTATGTGTTCCCAGATTGCCCTGTCCACACTGACACTTATTCTCTGTCCTGGTTCGCTTGTCTCTGTCTTAACACACTTCCTTGCTTGCTCACTTTCTTGCCAACTCACTTCAGAACTGGCCAGCAGGGGGCAGTAATGAACACCTCCTCCAGGCCATCCTACCCTGCCCTCACATCCCTTTTCTGCACCAGCTTCAGTTTGCCTGTTTCCAAACCAGTAGCTAGTTTTCAATAGTTAAATGTAGGGCATGTGGCCCAACAGCAAACACTCTGATCATTTCATGATGGAGAGAGGCGGGAAAACTAAGAATGAGCAAGTCACTGGCCAGACAAAGGTCCCATATATTGAGTTTCTGACCGAGACTTTGTTCTCCTGAGACAGCCTCAGATAAGGAGCACACATCCCACAGGGGAGCTTGACTGCAGCTCAGTCTTCCAAGCAGCCTCCTCCACTGCTGCCTCGTCTCAGAGAAGTGACAGCTCTGAGTGCTTTTTCCAAACACCCACAGTAACTACTTTTATGTGTGTCTTTGGTGCTTCCTCAAGGAAGTCTGCTGATGGCTCTTTGAAAACAAATTGGCATGTTGTATGAGTTGGACAGAGCCTAAATGCGGCCATTCTATGATATGTATATGATAAACAGTCACTTTTGCTCACTCGTCTAAGTGAAATGAGACTTTTACATTTTCCCAAAGAATCTCTTCTCCTATCCCCAAAGCCGTGCGTACTTCCTAAGAGTTGGGTCTGGTCAGCAATCCACTTAGGTCAATGGTTTCCCCACTAGCACTGCACCAAGTGGTATTTCAAAATGTAACATAAGGGGTGCTTATGTTGTTGAATGTGTTACCTTTGCTAAGTAGGAAGGCATGTGCTCTGCAAAAGCCTCCTTACCTTGTGGCATGAGTCTTTTCTTCCCCTGTGGTGGAGACCAAATACAGGGCCTCATGCATGCTAGGCAGCACCCTCCCCTCCCACCCTCCCTACTGTTTACATTTTAAAGGTAGAGAGTACTGAGTTCTGGGAAGGGCAGGTAAGGTCCCCCAGGGTTAGCCGGCTTCTGCAGAGATGGGAACAGTCAGTAACTTTTGACATCATTTTCAGTTTTGCTGTCAAATATTTAAAAATCAGAAACAACGAAAAACAAACCCTCCTTAAGTTGGTTTTTAATTAAGGTGCAGCATCAATGGGAGAGAGCTAAGGCCTCATGATTCTCTTAACAAATGCCTTCTTCCTAACATTCCTGTGGTGGTGTGGTCATGAGTAATGACATCCAAACTGACCATGTCTTGGGTTCAGATGACATAGTCAGCTTAGCCTCCAAAGTCTGCGACGAGTATGTGTGTAGTGCTTCGAGAGGTAACTAAGCAATGAAGCTCAGTTGGAAACGTAAGTAATCACAAATGCCCACCTATCCACTGGGCAGTGAAGTGGCTGTCTCCCCGAAGAATATATGTTTCCTTGGCACAGCCAGCCACCCGCAACAGCCACACCTGGGTCTGGACTTGTACAGGGTCCTGAACTAGGCATTGCCTCCTGTACACTAATGCTTACAGTGATGTGTATGAATGAAGTCTCCCGGGGCGGCTAAGTATTTCATTAGAATAAGCCGATTCAGTGAATGGGCTTATTCTAATGTGACTCTCAGTTTAACTGGGCAGGGAGACTTTGGGGCCACACTAGAATATGAATGCAGATTTGGAGATTTCACTTCATTTAACTGGCAAGCACTAGGTGTCTGTGTTCAGTGCCCAAATGCATTTCCACATGTTGCTCTTTCTGCATTGGCTCCAAGGCCATCCGTGTTCTGTGCATGCTCCCTTCCCCTTCGGTGATTTACACACCACAACATAAATCCTATTTTTTTCTTAAGAGTTAAAGTTAGAGAAAAATTGGTGAAAGAGGAGAGTGCTCCAAGCAGCCCTGAACTCACCTCAGAGTCCTTAACTCAGAGGAGGCAACAGCCAGGACCTGCGCATTTCCTGTCTATCCAGTCAGAAAGCTCTGCCTTCAATAGGGTCACCAGCAAGGTAGTGAGCTCACTACGGCCAAGCCGGAGCTGTGTCCTTCCAGCTGACCCTGTTCATGCCATCAAGCTGGTGACCGTGGATACCCCAGAAAGCACATCTGAATGCAGCTGGGTGGAGTCAACCACCCCAAATGTCATAAAATCTACTACCTTGAAGATTCTAGAAGGTGGGTCGAGGAATGCTCCAGGACTGCGTATCTGTGAATCAAAAGCAAAAGATGTGCTTGCCCCTGAAACTCCGGAGAGGAGCCCCAAATCACTCTTGACCTCGGAAGATGACAGCCTGGTGAGAGGCCACGAAGATCCCTCTGGTAATGAAGATTTAGATGAGTCCACCATTCACTCCATCGCCGTAGAACCTGAGAGGGAGCGGCGAATTCAACAGCAGCCCACTCAGAGAACTGACCGGAGTGCAATGGTTCTGTATGTTCAGAGTGGTCCTGTGTCCCAAGATGCCACATTGACCAGTCACACAAAAGAGGCCTCTCCAAAGAAGCGCAAGGTCCTGGCCCGCTCCCTGTCGGATTACACAGGTCCCCCTCAGCTCCAGGCCCCCAGACACAAGGATGTAGCCCCAAACCAGGAGCTGGAGCTGCGGAGTTCCAGGGCAGAAGGGCCTGGTGCAGAAGCCAGCATGCTGGACACCAGAGTCTCCGTTGCCCAGCTCCGAAATGTGTTTCTGGAGTCAGCCAGAGCCAGCAAGAAACCTGAACTGTAGGTGATGTTCCCAGCATCCTTCCGATATGTCACTTGCACGTCTTTGGCAGACGGTTCACTTCTCCACCCATGGTGTGTCCTGTTAGCTTAGCTCACAAGTGTGTGCAGGGCAGAATGTACAAGAAATGGCTCACACACTACCATTCTGCTTCTGCCTACTAATTGGGATCTAGAGGAGTGGGTCTCTGGAATGTTCCACCTGCAGATGCGATGCGCATGGTAGCAGCATGTAGAACCTAGCGCTCTGTGTCTTCCACTGAGATGCATAAGCCTTTCCTCTGTTCTCTCTCTCTCTCCCTCTCTCCCTCTCCCTGTTTTGCACTCACTGCCCTGTGGTCCTAAAAGCCAATCCCGAGTTGAGAGATCAGCTGAAGGAATTGGCTTGCCCACGGAACGGGAGAGAGGGTCTCGGAAACCAAGACGCTATCTTTCTCCTGGTGAAAGCAGAAAAACTTCTGAGCGATTTAGAACTCAACCTATAACTTCAGCAGAGCGAAAGGAGTCGGATAGGTAGGCACGTGTGTGTACTTCCAGCAATTCAAACACGGGGTTCTCAATACCCTGGTGGGCCTGATGCTGTTTGCATAGGATTCCAGGATTATTCCATCTCAGCTGTAAGGATACTTTTATTTATGGAATTGTATTTCCAAAGAATGTTGCTTTTTATACCTGATATCCCCTATAGGTGTGAACTGCCCGCAGATCAGGTGAGGAGAAACACTTTTCTTCAGTCAGTGCTTCTCATTTTTTGTGCTTTCATTAAACCAGGGTTTGAACTGAGCATCTGCCATTGGGCATAAGGGATTTTGTATTCATCTTATAAACAGCTTACTTTTTATATTTACATTTTTGTATGATGCCATCATATGTTAATGTATAGAAACCATAAGGTTCACCAGAAATGTGCACTTAGTCCCACGTAATAACTTCTTGTCAGTACTACTTTTTCTCCACAAGTGTGCACCAGGCTGGGGTTGTGTGTACACGCTCCACAGTGTCAGCTAACAACTGTTTGTAGTCCGAGACAACTCTTTAAGATAGTTCACTTGCATTGTGTTTCATGTTTCATGTGTAGCTTGTGTGCCCACCACTAACCATCACCATTATCTGTTTCTGTTTTTCCTAGGTACCCTTCGGGTTCAGAGGTGCCAATGGTTGAGGGCAAGTATCTCTTTTCTTTTTATTCTTCCACATCATGTCCAAATTAGATTTAAGACCTAAAATTTGGGGCTTTGGGGGAGATAAAACTGGAGCCTATCAGGTTCTTGCTTTCTTCCAAATTGCCTTGCTATGAACCCTAGGTGAAATTTCAGATAAGCCTTCCCTTAGCTTTTGGTAGAAGTTAAGAGGCTTCTTCAGTGAGCAATACAAAACAGCCACTGTGACTAAAGAAGCAGATTTCACTGGTGACTGCAAGGCAGTCTGTTCCTAAGGTCCCTCCTTATATCCTCTTAGTCAGACTATTACAATAAACATCACCCTTCTGGACACAGTTTGGTTTGAATTGCGATGAGAACGCATGAGCTCTTCATGAAGGGAGACTTCCCATTTGTGAAGTCAGTTCACCTTCTCTTGGATTCGAGGGCTCGCCAGGTCAGTCTTGAAAAGCATTTCAGAGAGGAAGCCTGTGCTTTCAAATGATGTTCAGGTTTTCTCTCGTGGCTTTTTACAGATGAAGAAAAGGTAGATGAACGGGCCAAGCTGAGTGTCGCTGCCAAGAGACTGCTTTTCAGGGTAAGGTGTGCCAAACGGTTTACCTAGAGACCGTAATCCCTACTGAGGAAGCTTCACACACTGGGAGCTTCAGTGTCCTCCTCACCCTTTGTACCTGTTGTTCTCTTCCTGTGCCAAGTTAGTCAGTGTTCCTTTACTGTAACAGAATAGCTGAGGCTATCACCTCTTCTAGAAAGAAAAGTTTATCTCAGCACAGTACTTCAGACAGCTGGCCCATCTGCTTCAATCCTGTGATGAGGTGGTCCTCTCTGACAGGAGCCTCAGATGGTGGAGGAAGCTGCTTAACACTGGTGCCAGGAATGAAAAAGAGAGGAAGAGACAGGATTCTGGAATCTTGAGGAAGGGGTGGCCTTGCTGTCAATCCTACTTCTCACTTTTCCACCAGTACCAAGCTGGGGACTAAGCCTTTAATGCAGACCATCTAGAGCCAAGCTTCAGAATCTGGTTTGGCTGGTTTGATCACCCAGCTGCTTGGGCCTGAAGTGCTCACTTCTGATGGCAGGGTCCTCTCATTGGTGTCCCCTCCTATGGATTCTTCAGAAGAGCAGCAGACAGACACCTTGTTTGTTACCCCAGTTTTTTTTTTTTTCTTTGAATTCTTGAGGATTCTACAATATTTTCTAACTGCAGGAAATGGAGAAATCATTTGATGAACACAACGTCCCAAAGAGACGGTCAAGAAATGCTGCTGTGGAGCAAAGGCTGCGTCGCCTACAGGACCGCTCTCACACCCAGCCCATCACCACGGAGGAAGTGGTCATCGCAGCCACGTGCGTCTCTGGGGGAGTTCTTAGCCTGGCCTGTGTTGTCGTCTTTCAAGGGAGATTCAAAAATTTTCTGTAAGAATGAGGCAGTTTAGCTAGGAGCCGTAGAGAGGGACATATTTCGTACTTATTCTTGTTTTGTTTTGTTTTGTTTTGTTTTCTGCTGTTTAAACAGTAATGGGATGTAGGTGTGGGGTTGTCTCTGAAGCACTTGGGTCCTTGTGCTTGATCTTTCACAATGAAAATATAAAACATGAAAGGAGGTGAAATATGGTGAGCCCCAGCTTCACAGCTATCAGCTCCAAAGCAGTACGTCTCCACATGCATTATCTTCGGCCACACCCCAGACATTTTATCCTTAAATATTGTAGTGCATATCTCTAAGCAATAAGCATTTATTTTGTTTTTTAAGCCATCACCAAAGTGTCTAAAAATTAATTGGCCGTTGGACACTTTCCAAACCACAGGAGGCCCGCGTTTGGGCAGTCTGCTCAGGTGTGCTCAGATTACCTTGACTGGTTCAAAGTTAGCAGCTCCAGTCAACTTGAGACTACTTATTTGCTTTGAAAAAAACATTTCTGTTAAGTGTTGACATCCCAAAGAACCTCCGACTGCAGGCTTGCTATTGGAACCTGCTGTGAGGTTGCCAGCCTTCACTTTGTTCGATTGTAACAATCCTGGGGTCCACACAGCCTGTGCATGCTGGACAAGTACTCTACCACTGAGCTACATCCCAGCCTAGGCTCTTTGTTTTCTCAGTGTGGTTATAGACAAGCATATCTGTCTACTTACACTAGTCTCCTTGCATATCCGTTTGTTTAAAAAGTCATTTCTTGGATTGGCTGGTAAACACTGTGAAGCAGACACCCATGGAGGCAAAGCAATAAAGGAGGGGGAAGTATCTGGCTGGCATGGCTCAGTGGGTCTACTTTGATGAGCGTATTGATTGACAGGGCCACTCGTGCTTCTAAAAGCTACACTGAGAAGACCATTCTAAACTGCGGCCGGAATCTCCTGACTGGCCGTGGTTGACACTAGCTTTTGAGATGACTTCGTAAAATGAGGCTGTTTGTTCTAAGTTGACTCCTTTTCAAGCTTACGCCTCTGCTTGTCCTATTTACTCTGGACAGCCTCTGCCTCTTTTCCCCTCCGCTGTATTGCTTTCCCAAGTTCTTTTGTGACTTGTTTCCCCTCAAAGTGTTTAGCAAATATTTTTGGTAAAATATTTGGTTTTTGCATTTCTGGATTTGCAGCTATGCCTTCCTTAATGCCTCTTTTCTTCTCTCTCCTCATGAATGCTCCTCCTTTGGCCATTGCTTTTAAAGTGAACCTATCCCTGCTTCGTGTTCTGGGGTCACCCACCCTGTAATGGCGAGACTTCCTAGGTCCACTGTAGCTAGAAGCACTGAGCAGCCTGCCAGGTACCGGACACACATAGCTGCATGTAACACCCAGCGCCAAGGTGCTGGGCAGCAGATGCATCTGGAAGCCTTGAATGCCTTTCATTTGTTTGACAAACAAGTCAGTGCAGTGAGTGTCCCTGAAATGTTTGATGTTTTGTCCTGTCATAGTGCGAGGTACCGTTAATTTCATGACTGTGTGAGAAACATATAGTCCATCTGCCTGCTTCCTGTGTTGGTGCTAGGATCATACTAACTCACTCATACATCTTTTTTTTTTTACATAAAAAAACTTTATTTTTCTTCTAAAATACTAACAGGTAAAGACTAATTTAAAAACAGCATTAACTTGGATATTGAAATGTTGATAAGATCTAGCTATTTTTAAACATGTATACGCATAAATCCATACTAAAACCAAATACTCCTGTTTCCTAATTTGAACAGAGGAGAGGCAGTGCCATTAGATTTTAGAACTGGTTGTAGACGTAGTAGGATTCAGTTTTAAACTGCGGTGTTTTAAAAAATGATGCTCTTTGGTCGGTGGTGGCACACACTTTTAATCCCAGTAGTAGGATCTCTGTGAGTTTGAGGCCAGCCTAGTCTACAGAGCGAGTTCCAGGACAGGCTCCAAGGCAATACAGAAAAACCTTATCTCAAAAAAAAAAAAAAAAAAAGTTTTTAAACCATGTTAATATTTCCTCTGTCTTAACTGTGCTAAAAGTTGTGCTTACTTTAGCTTGTGCTAAAAGTAAGACTCAGAGATGTAAAGTGACAGAGTTAGAATAAACAGGCCTGATCCAAAAGGAGGGCTGTTTTAGGAAAGACTTTTTGGCCCTTCCAGTTTGTACTCTTGAACCCCTGGAAGGTTCTGGTCCTCAGGCGGCCTCACTTGATCACCCTCTCACTCACTGCCCTCATGATATATCTGGACACAAAGACTGACCTCTGGCCTAGGACTGCCTAGGGTCAGTGATTAATGAGAGTAAAGGCTGAGTATCCTTAGTAGAAGGGAGTGTTGCTGGGGTGAAGGCAATACTGTCTTGGAGACCTTCTGGGAATCACACTGACCTCCTTGGCTGGAAGCCTCCTCTCCCTAGCAGTAGAAGCTACTGTTATTACTATTGTTGTTGTTGCTGTTTTGTGGGGCTGAGCACTGAACCCAGGGCTTTGCACAAGCTAAGCAGGAGCTCTACTACCACTGCTCTGCCTGTGTAGTCCCAGTCAGTGTGTAGGGGATGTTTAAAAACTTGAAATTAGATGTAAGTAACTTCTGAAATTGGTAGAAACCTGGGAGACAAGTATATTTAAAAACCACACATTTGGCAAACAAAACCCTGCTTTGCAGAATGTCATTGTCAGGAGACCATATTGTTCCTAACTATTCAAAATGAGGGTACCATCTCCTGAGTTGTATCTGTAGAGGATGTTTGACCTGGGTAATGACTTTCTGCCTTTACCTTTAGTCCCTGTGATAGGAACCATCTGGGATTTCTCTGTAGGAAGCTAGATTCAGGCTGACACAGGTTCCTTCAACAGGAAATTTCCTTTATAGAAATGATTCAGAGCTAAAGGTCTGCCTGTCCTAGAACTGATGGTGCTGGTGTTCCAAGCTGACCCTGCTAATCACCGTCTTGTTTACTAGTTAAACAGTTGCCTGCCCCTCTCCCAAATCCATGTAGGGAAAATCAACCCTTTCCAAAATAAGTGACATTTTTAAGACAGTTAATAAATGAATTAGTAGTGGCCGTTTGTTTGCTGTTGTCTCGATGACTGACTTTTCCTTCCTTCCCTCTAGGTTACAGGCTCACCAAAAGGCTTTAGCCAGGGGCCAGGCAAATGAGGGCAGAGAGTCTGCTGAACCAGGCGAACCTGATTCCTCCACTCTGAGCTTAGCAGAGAAGTTGGCCTTGTTTAACAAATTGTCCCAGCCAGTCTCCAAAACCATTTCCACCAGAAAGAGAATAGATGTACGGCAGAGAAGGATGAACGCAAGGTATCAGACTCAGCCGGTCACACTTGGAGAAGTGGAGCAGGTGAGTGTGTGTGATCTAATTCCACAAGGGTGTGTGTGTGTGTGTGTGTGTGTGTGTGTGTGTGTGTGTTCTCTGAATACAGCAACACAGTACTGCTTGTGTGATCGTGATAGGACAGGGACAACAGGTAGACTTGTACGTGGCTTTACCTTCTCATCCCTAAAGAAGAACCATAGCCAAGTTTGCTTTTCTTGTTGTTGTTATAACTTGCTTGGAATGAGTCCATTTTGGAGGATATAATAGCAGAGGCAAGCTGTTTCCCTGGAAGGTTTGTTTGTGATGTATTCTGTGTGTATAACCATGCAGGCTGGTTTTCCAGTAAGATGAGCTAGGAAGCTGTGCTTCAGGTGTTTGATGCCCACCTGTGCCAGTTCCTAGATGATGATGTCCCTAAACTGTGTCCTCCCAGGTGCAGAGTGGGAAGCTCATCTCTTTCTCCCCCACTGTGAACACATCTGTTTCTACCATGACCTCTGCAGTTGCTCCCACATACGCAGGGGACCTTCGGACGAAGCCATCTGTTGACGATGGTACGAGTACCACTGACTATAAGTTTCCTTCTCCCGTGGAAAATTCAGACTCTCCAGTTAGAAGCATTCTGAAACCACAAGCCTGGCGGCCTTTGGCAGAGCCCAGTGGGAGCAAAGGAATTCTGGGGGAGTCTGGAGAGACGGAAAGCAAGAGCGCTCTGACTGAAGTAGACAGTGGCGTTCAATCATACAGAGCCTTCGAGGAGGAAGCTGAGCCCTCCTACCCTATCCTTGGCAGAGCCAGAGAAGGCGATGGCCAGAAGGAGCCTAAACATGCCATTCTAAGGAGGGGAAGCTTAGAGCTAGGTAATCCTTCTGTCTCCCACCTTGGTGATGAGGTGAAGGAATTTTCCACTGCTAAAAGTGGTTTGCAAGAGAATCTGGACCTGAAGGATAAGCAGACCTCGGAGGAGGACGTAGATGTGGAGAACGGCATGAGAAAGTTCTCACTCAAAGGTAAGGCCCTGCGGCTTCCAGCTTTCTAAGGGTTCTGCGGTCTGATGGACTTGCTGTGTGTGGTCCTGTTGGTTCCTGTTTACTACATCTAGAGAGGGTTTATCACTAGAATGGATCGAAGTTCAGTGAGTCATCCTCCTCTCCCCAGACCTCTCTTCTCCTTGAATCTGACACAGTCAGATTGGCTGCAACTCTTAACAGCCCTTGATAAGGGTTTCGGGTAACTTCAGTGACATTAACTCACACAGTAGCCTTCTGAGCTCCTTTAGCTGGGTTGGCCCCTTTTATTAAGTTGATGGCACAAAAGTCCTGCACCCAGGCAGCACAGGGAATAAGGACTTGAAGCAGTATGCTTTCCAGACTCTGCATGCACTCTGACTGTACAGATCGATGGGTGCGCTGTCTGCACAGACCAGGCAGCTTCCATTCACACACCCTGATAGCATGTGTGCTGAGATGGGCTTGGGTTGTGAGTGCAGCACATTAGAAATGAGGAGCATTGTGTAAGAGAGGCCAATTCCATTGTGCAACACAGCTGACACAGGCTAGCTGTTTCTCTCAGTGAGTTGCACTACAGGTCTACATAAACCCCAGTGGTCTGGTTAACCTGTCATGCGCCCACAGCCTGACTTGGGTGCTGCACTGTGGGGCCATGAACATCTGGAAAGACGGTTTGCTGGGGAGTGATGCTGACTCGGGTGGGGCATGAGCAGCTGGAAAGATGCTGCTGGGAGAGTGATGCTGACTTGAGTGCTGCACTGTGGGGCCGTGAACATCTCAAAAGACGCTTGCAGGGGGAGTGATGCTGACCTGCACTATGGGGCATGAGCTGCTAGAAAGATGCTTGCTGGGGGAGTGAAGCTGATTCTTGCTGGAGCAGTGATGCTGACTCCACTCTCCTCTCCAGCAGCAGAGTTTGAAGAACCTGCTTCTGAGCAGACAGAGCCAGCCGCTGGGAAAGCATCTATGCAGACAGCAACCCCAGTGTCCTGGAAGCAGCAGGATTCCTCTGAGCAGCTAGCAGAGAAGCTCTTCAAGAACCCCTGTGCCATGTTTGCTGAGGGAGAGGTCAAAGTGCCCGTGGGGGAGACTTTCCTGGATTCACCCAGCAAAACCATGTCAATCAAAGAAAGGTAAGCCCCTCTGGTGATTGACAGGCAGTGTTGGGGAGCGATGCAGACTTGCTGCACCAGGATGCGGAATGCTAGAGCAACCCTGGGAAGCCAAGGCATATGAATATGAGCGGCACCTAATTTAGCAAAGTTGAGAGATGCCCAGTCCAGACTTGGGGAAAGAATGAACAGGGATACCTCATTTGTCTGTGGTCCCTGTTTCTTATTTCATATCCAGTTCTCTGGGAGCCAAGATCTTGCCTCTTTCTCCTACACGTGTTTCAAACTGCAAGACCAATCATCCTCTGACTGTCTAGGTTAAATAAGGGATGAAATAGATAGATTCACATAGGAGATCTTTGTCTTTGATCTATATTTGGTGTGTTTTACAGGAAATAAGATGAATTACTTTTTTTCTAAATTTTTATTGTATTTATTTATTTGTGTGTGTGTGTGTGTGTGTGTGTGTGTGTGTGTGTGTGTGTGTGTGTGTGTGTGTGTGTACTTAAATGTGTGCCACAGAATGTATGTGGAGGTCAGTGGACAACTTGCAGAAATCGCTTCTTCCCTCCTGGGGTTGAACTCAGGTTTGTATGTCTTGACGCCCAGCACCTTTACTTGCTGAGCCATTCCACCGGGCAAACATTTAGAAATTTCGTTCGGTCCATTCTTCCTTCTTTCCCTCCTTCCTTCCTTTTTTCCCTCCCTCCTTCCTTCCTTCCTTCCTTCTTTCCAAGTTTCTCACTCTCCCTTCTTCTCTTATTTCCCTCTCCCCCTTTCCCCTCCCTCCTTTTCTCCTCCCTCCCCTCTTCCCCTTCCTTCCTCCAAGTCCTCCCTTCCCTCCATCCTCCTCCCTTCCCTCCCTCCCATGCTGGTTATCTCACCCAGAGTCTTGTACCTGCTAGGCAGGTACCACTGAGCTGCAACTCCAGCCCTGAAACTTTATATTAGTGTAGCTGTGGGGTTTCTTGATTCATCTGCTCGTTTTCAGTAAGTTGTGCTTCATCTGTCTCTTTCTGTGAGTTTTACCCTGAGGGGAAACTGTTCTGTTTAAAGCTGAACAACTATGGAGCGCAGCTTCTTAACCAGGCTTTGTAGGTTAAAAGATGCCTGTGCAGCTCCTGTGGACTGTCTGGAATGAGTCCACGTGTGGGGTAAAGGTAGCATGCACCTGTTGCCTAGCCAAAGCCAAAACCTCTCAGAGAGGTTCCTGAATCCAGTCTGTTCAGAATCCTGTCAGGAATGCTTACTAAAAATTCAGCTTCCCCATTTCATTGTTAACATATGCAATTATGCTTGCCATCACAAACTATATCAATAGGATATATCTCATCACCCATTAATAGGAAATAGCTCACCTGTGCCTTGATGGTACTCTTGTGTGTACATCTCTGAATATACCTACATGTCTGTCTTGACCATTCACATGATAAGGTTTCCAGAGTGAGTTTTCTGATCCTTCTCTTTGTTAAATGTGAAGCTTGACCTATTTAGAATAGGGGTGTTATTCACACATTTATTTTGACATTGCTTTTCTTTCCTGGGGTGACATATAAAATTCTAAGTCTTTCAAACCTTACTTAGTCCATCTGTTCTGACTGCCTTGATTTACCACAGGAAGGTCGTTGTTCCAGCACCTTCAGCACTGTGTGTTCACTACACTTGGCAAGGTCGCAGTCCCTGGGCTCAGGCAACCCTCGTGACTCCATCTTCTGAGAGCCTGGAACTTGCAGTCATTGTGCCATTATGCCCAGTTCTGCTCACACATTCTTTACTTGGTTTGCTTCAAATTACACGTTCCCCTTCAGATTCCAGAGTCTGCAATGAGGAGCAGAGACTTTGTCATGAGTCATAATGAGCTGTGTGCTTCTGCTCATTGCCTAGGTCTTTCGTATACTAAAGACTGGGCCATGTCAAGTTCTGTGCACTGACTGCCACCAAATGCCCTACGCATGTGTGCATGCCCCTCCATCGCTCCTCTGCACCCCATGCAGCCTATATCCATGTCTCCCCAGCAAACTCCGGGTTCTGACTTTGAGCTGGGAGATTTCAGGTATCAGTGAGCCCTCAGATTGCTGTAAGATAGAGAGGTCCCGCCTCTAATTATCTGTCCCTGACTCAGCCTCTCAGGTCTGATGCTGCAAGGAATATCTGGGGTTGAGTAATTTGAAAAGCAAAACAATATACTTTGGCTCACAGTTCTGGAAAATCAAAGACTAACTCTGGCAGCCACACCAGGTAGAGGGCCTCGTGACATGTTAGAACACGGAGGAAGGTCAGGCCCAGTCTGTCAGACCTTTCCTCTCTGTGACAACTATCTGGGAAGCCTGGTTTGAAGGAGAAGAGGTTTATGTCACTGTCTCGAAGACTTCAGTTCCTTGTTGGCTATCCCTGATGCTCCTGTGCAGCTTGAGGCAGAGAGCCAGCAGGAAGGGGCTAGAGACAAAACAGTGCCTCGGGAACACTGCCAGTGACTACTTTCTCCCCCTTGAGGCCCCACCTCTAGGAATATCTACCACCTCCCAAAAATGCCATTAAATCCTGAGTCCACCAGGGGAGTACTTGATCCACTTAGGGAGGCTGACCCCTAGTGGTCCCACCAAGTCAAAAGGATTGACTCCAGCCACTAATGAGCCTTCTGAAGGACACTTCCTATCTACTTACAGAGGGGAAACACCAATGCAGAGAGTAGCAAAACAGAGAGGTGGCTGTGCTTTGCAGGTAGCTCATTCGTAATTGATCCAGAGTCCAGAACATAAACTCACTCCCAGGAAAAAGGCATTAATCCCTTTCAGTATCTCTTCACCCACTGAAGGTCTGTTCAGGATACCGCCATAATGACAGAAGAGGCACACTGTAATCAAACTATGGTTATCTTCCACCTAATAGATGAAAAGGGCTAGAGGTCTGGCTCATTGTAGAGTGCTCAGTTAGCATTTACAAGGTTCCAGGCCCAGTCTTCAGCACCAGAAAAATTCAAATAATTAAAAAGCAAGTGGTTGGGTAGATGGCTCAGCAGGTGAACTGCTTGTTGCTCACATCTAAGGAACCTGAGTTTGAATCCCTGGCATGAGTGTAGGAGCTGAGTGCAAGGGCACATGTCTCTGAACCTGGTGCTCACGGGTAAAACAAGGTAGGCAGACCCCAGGCTCACCTGCACACACGACATAACATCAGAAGAAATGAAAGAGAAATGAATGAAGAAAAGCAAAAGGAAACATAGCAAGGGGTTGGAGCCAGGGCTTGGTGTGGAGCTCTTGCTTGGATGTACAAGGCCCTGGATTCAGTCTTCAGCACCAGATAAAAGCCAAATGCAGCCAAGAAGCGTATTACTAATAAATAGTTAACTCTTCCGAGTTTCTCATTCGCTAAAGCTAGGATCTAATGCAATTACTCATCAGTGCTGATCAGTTCAGCTTAAGTGCATGGCTGCCTCTTTTTCTCCGAAAATAAGGGAAATGTCTAAAGAGGAAATACAAATACCTTAGTTGACATGAGGGGCATGTGGTCTGCCTGCCCCTTGCTTGACCCTTCCCTGCTGTGAGCCTGGAAAAACTTGTCCTCATCCAGCAGGCTCTGCAGACAGAATTCCTGTTGAAGAGCATGTGCTGTTGCAATAGCCACAGACGCTCCCACAGAGGCCTGGTAAGCACATGTCCTGTTGGCCCTGGGCCAGGCCAATGTGTTAGCAGGCTAATACTATGCCACTCACTGGGTATGGAGCCTCAGACTAAGCAGATGCCCCGGCTCTCCACATCACAGCCCACAAATAGCCCTCAGACTTGGCAGATGTTAAAAGCGCTGACAATTGTTGGCACTGCACATAGGGGGGGAATTTATGTCATGTGTTGACCCAGACCTTAGCCCTCTGCAATGGTGATGAAGGGCTATGAGATTGCCAGAGTAGAGAACAACACTAGAAAGATCTGCCACCCTCCACAGCTTGTTGAACACCAAATAGGAAATCAGAAGAGACGGGATAATGCACTCAGATTCACTGTGTGCTATTATGAAGTTATTCATCATTTATACTGTGGAAGTGAGGGCTGGGCCAAGTACCACACGGGCTCAACTGAAGCAGTTTCTCCCATACTGCTTTGGTTACTTTGGAGTCTTTGAAAGTTAAAGGAACCAGAATATTGCAAAGCAAATTTTCAGGGCTTTAGAATGGAATGGCTCTGTGGAAACCGTCCTGCAAAGGACTGGGAGAACATCACAAGAAAATTGGAAGGCTCTGCTCTTCCTGCCAGAGATAGGCACTGTGTTTCCGCTTAGACCACTTCTCATGGAAGGAAATAACTGGGACTCGGGAGGCAGGATTTGGAATCATGCCTCCTCTCCCACCAACATGCATGAGGCCCTCACTCAGAGGAACCTTGACCTGTTTACACCTGGATTCCTACACTGTATGATGAAAATAAAATATGCAGAAGACATCTGTGTGTGTCAGAGGAGCATAAGAAAGGCGACGGTGATTTTAGATTCCACAGTTTGCTTTTTCTGAATTAGTCTCCTGCCCCTCAGGGCAGCCCCAGCAGAACCATGCTTTTGTTGAGAGGCTGCTTGCTGGCTACATCATCTTTAACAGTCTCTGCTTCTGAGGTGGAGGATTTGCCCTCTATAAGTCTGATTGAGGTGAAGGCCAAGCATGTGTACTCTGAGTCAAAGAGAAAGCAAGAGAGCAGCTGGTTCTGAAATGGTTTGCAGGGTGAGTGACAGTGTGGATGCCTCCTCCAGATGATGGCTCAGACATGCCCCTCTGTGCTGGAGCGAGGGCCTGGCATGCTCACTAGCTGGAAGTCTTATTTCCTGATGCTATCAGATCTCATTGGCATGATTATTTCTTTTTAATAATTTGATTTTTTAAAATTCTTTTTCTTATTGCAATAAAATGGACACATTGAAAGTAATTGGGACAGGATAAATAATAGTCATCATTTTATATGAGCTGAAAGGAAAACATATGAAAGAATTCAGTGTTCCAGTACATGAAGTATCCATGTTAGCATTGTAAAACTATAGAAGTTAAGGAATGGTACCTTGTATGAGCTGTGTGAGCCTTCATTAGATCGATAAGACAGCTCATATGAATTTATAGAATGGGCCCTTTTGTGGTCTTATCTGCTGTCACAGAAAGATTAGAAAAGAAGGGAGAGACTAAAGAGGGGCTAGACCCAAAGCTCAAAGTTCTGTATCCCTTAGGAAGTTCTTGAGAGCTTATTTACATCATTTGATAGAGGGATAGAAAGTATGAAAGATGATTATGCAAGCATTTGTAAAGCTAATGGATCCCTGTTTAATATAGAATTCAGTTCCTTATTTGCTTAGCAAAAACTCTTTTATCATATTTAGTTCAGCAGTCGCCGTGATCCAGCCTGTGTCAGTCCCACGCTATGGAAGCCATCTATTCCGGATTGATGTCTCTGGGGCTGCAATCGGAGCCAGCCGAACAGCCCTGGGTCCATCCCTGAGTGGGAGATTGTGGATCGGGAAACTCCTAGCTACCCCCAGGCAATAAAGACAAGACAGCCGCATCTTGTCATCTCAGGAGGGCTCTCAGTCCATGCTGGAGACTGGAGTCCATGGTTTATTCAAGCATCCTCTTAAATGGCTTTCCAACCATGGGGGTGATATCAAAAGACATCTATTATCATGTATAAAGCCGATATCAAATATTTCCTTTAATTCTAGAGGCACCCCTAGAACTGCACATCCTCACCAGCCTTTCATCAGTCCCTAGGCACTTATATAAGCCCTCAGAATAGGTGTGGGTCCACCCTGGGCCTAGGTCTGTTGTTATGCAAACTTGGAGACATTCTCCACTGAGGCCTAGCCCTCGGGTGGTTACCAGCCACCAGCTAAAAGACACTGTGAGATTCGAGCTCCTGGGATAGAGCTTGAGACCTGTATCCGAAATACCATAATTGATATTTTTGGGCCCCGACAAGCAGTAGAACACTTGCCTAGCATGCTTGAGGCCCTGGATTCCATCCAAGAACCACCAGCAAATGAGTGAATAAGCTTCTTTAGCACAGAGTGTAAGGCGTCCTGCCTCCAATACGGATATTGAGTAGAATCAGGAAATTTAGACTTAGGCACTTATATAAGTGGAGACTGGAGTCCATGGTTTATTCAAGCATCCTCTTAAATGGCTTTCCAACCATTTGTTGGCTGGCTCCAACATGGAGAGCACCATGTCCAGTTCATGAATGACAAACAAGGCAAGGAGAATGGCATGCCTGAGTGGAAGTGGCTATGCTAACCACTGTTCTCATAGGTCGGACCAAACCCCTGACAAGAAGCAACTGGGCTGAGCAGGGGATATAGTTCACCGTAGTGGGGAAGACACAGCAGAAGGAGCCACCATCCATGGCAGCAAGAGTTTGGGGCATATCTTTCTCATACTTTAAAAGCAAGGAGCTTAAGCCAGTATTGGGGTCAGGCTATAAGCCTCAAGCCCCACCCCTACAGCTCTGCTTCTGCCAGCTAAGCCCCAGACCCAAAAGTTTCCACAGCCCCCCAAACAGCAGTACAAGCTGCATGAACCTGTGGGGACATTTCATGTCTAAGTCACAACAATGTCCACACCCAGACTTCAGCTGATTGGATGCCTGTCACAGCCACTCTTGTAGGTCATGTATTGTGGTCAAAGGCCTGTCTGGCAGAAAGGGAATGGGGCCTCATCACCTCATTTCATTGTTTCCCCCCAATCTTTAAATTGTTTGAACACCAGCCTCAGTGAGTCTCATAGGCCCTACTTGCCCTTTTGTCTGTCCCACCCTATTGAACTTAAATGGCTAAGGTGTTTTCCTTCGTGATAGCATAGCTGTCTAAAATATCCCCTTTTTCTGGGAAATGGCTTTTTAGAAAGAACCAAATGTTCAAGCAGCTTCAGATAAAGTCCTGCAGTGTCTGAGCTAAAGTGTGCTCATAACAGTCTCCATTAATGAGATTCTTATTTTGGTATATTTTTTCCCTTGGAGAAAGTTGAACTATTAATTTTTTAAATGGGTTTTATAAGGTAGTTTTTGTGTGTAAGGACACACTGTAAAGATAGGGTTAATCTGGGGGTGGAGACTAGGGCTGAGAATAGAAGAGAGTGATGATATCATAGTTTACCTTTAGTTGAGGTATGATAGCAAGATGCCATATCTTTCTGTTTTTATTAGTGTATATTTATTGTACCAAGTAGGGTTTCATTATGAAATTTCCATACATGAATATAATTTACTTTGTTGGGAATTGCCTCTGCTATTATGCATGCCTATTTATGTTTTTAAGCCCTTTTTCCTCAGTGTTTTCTGCTTTCATCTTTAAGTATTTTTTCTCACCCAGTGGCCAGAAGGGGTCACTAGAAGACATTTCACTGGGGATAGTTTGTTTGTGTTTTTTTTGTTTTGTTTTGTTTTGTTTTGTTTTGTTTTTGTCTTCTCTATCTCTCAGCATCAGGGCAAAAGGAAAACAAGAGTTGCATCCCCTTTACTGGGATGATGGAGCATCTTTTATCTGACAAATCGACTTTCAGCTTTTCTTTCCAAGCAACTAAAACATCTTTGGGACGTCTTAGAAAACAGGTTCTTGTGAGTCCAAGAGTGTGGTGCTGAGCCTGGCGCTGGTGGCGCACACCTTTAATCCCAGCACTCGGGAGGCAGAGGCAGAGGCAGGTGGATCTCTGTGAGTTCGAGGCCAGCCTGGTCTACAGAGCAAGTACCAGGATAGGCTCCAAAGCTACACAGAGAAACCCTGTCTCAAAGAAAAAAAAAAAAAAAAAAGAGTGTGGTGCTGAATTCTCCATTGTTGTATTTTCCTTCCAGGCTGGCACTGTTGAAGAAGAGTGGCGAGGAAGACTGGAAGAACAGATTGATGCGGAAGCAGGAGTATGGCAAAGCCACCAGCGGCCTGCACATCCAGGAGATGGAGCAGTCCCTGAGGAAGGTACTGAGTCCACCTCACTAATGCCACACTTGTGTGTCTTGGGAGCAAGTGTATGTGGCTTAATGACCCCCGCTCTGTAGAACACTGGCGCTTCCTTGCCCACAGGAGACACGTGTGTCACAAAACTGCTAAACTGACTGCAATGTCAAGGCTTGAGGCCGAGGGTTGGTACCAGCACTACACGGTTACCTCAGCAAGCAAGTGCCTCAGTTTCCAATTGTGTTCACAGTTAAGTCTTTTTTTTTTTTTTTTTTTTTTTTTCGAGACAGGGTTTCCCTGTGGCTTTGGAGGCTGTCCTGGAACTAGCTCTTGTAGACCAGGCTGGTCTCGAACTCACAGAGATCCGCCTGCCTCTGCCTCCCGAGTACTGGGATTAAAGGCATGAGCCACCACAGTTAAGTCTTAAATGAAGTCTGGTGTTAGAATGTGATTAAAGTCTTCCAAATGAGACAGCAACTCACCACAGTTTATAAGTTACATGTCAAACATGGACTTAAATTTCTTGTGCAGAGATTTAAGACCTATTTATCAAAACTAAGGGCCTAACTGTGGTCCACGGGAACTTTCTGCCTAATCTTAAGCCTCTTCATGATGATGAGGTATGGCTTTTATTGAGGACCTATGTATGAATTTCAGCTAAATTAAGTTGCATGTGCAAGCATTTCATGTGGGCATATAGATGACTTTTTGAATCACACATGTAGTGGTCTTCAGCCTTGGCCAGGTACTCGTTGCTTCAGCCATGATGTCCTTGCCCACTGACTCTGCGAACACTAGTGCGATTGCTGGCTGAGGCAGAATGACACACCTGAGCCACACCCAACTATCCAACTATCCAACTTCTAGAATCTTCTAAAGTGTTCAGGTAAAACACACACACACACACTAAGGTCCACCTAGTGGATCACGGAGGCTTCTAAAAGAGCCATCTGAAGCTAGGACAGGCTCATGCCTGTCTAGTGATTTCAGAGGCTGTGATTGATACTCCTTGGGCCCCAGAAAAGGAAGAGTAGCCCAAGCAACATAGTAAAAGCCTGTCTGACAAATACAAAATAATAGTAAAAATAATAGCAGAGACAAAAATTCTGTATATGACCTCTACATATTAAAGACATACATGAAAATGAGTGTGACTACATGAGGTGAGGTAAGGGTCCCAGAACATACATCACAGTACTGGAATGGCAATTTGAGTTCTCTTTTTTGAGATATCCGTGTTGTTAAAGGTAATGACTGGGGACATTTAGTTCCTAGCCATGTGTGTTAGAACTCCGGTGTAAAATATATTTGAATTATTTAGCCTGAGTCATACATGATGTTGAAGACGATCCAAAAAAATATTTCGTTACCAGCCATTAATAATGGCTGTAACTATACCTAGATATTAAATAATATATATGTAAAATTGAGATTTCAAGGTAAAAAAAAAAAACAAAGTCCCTCAAATAATTTATTCCCTGGATGACAACTTTATTTAAAAGAATCTTAGTGCTGACATGTAGCTCTGTGGTCAAATGCTTGGCCTGGGATGTACCAGGAGGTGTGTCCCACCCCAGACACCACAAAAAGAGAGCCTTGAAATGATTGGTCCAAAATGACGTCAGCATATACCTGAGTAGCAGCGTGATTAACTGTACATGATGTCACTTCCCACGCAGTCATTTGGAAAGTTGATGGATTCCCAGGGACCATGCAGAAGTGCATCGTCTACTTAAGAGAGTGAAGGCTTGTGTTATTTCCAGAACATGTGGTTAGAGGATGGGTCTGGACTGCCCAGACACTTGACTAATGTTCCTACAGGTGAGAGACTCAGGCTACCCCTGCATTCACTTTTGGGATAGAAAACCCGGTGCTGGAAAGAGCAGGGCTCTAGGCACAGCCAGCACCTGCATGTGCAGGACCACCTTGGGCTCACTCGGCTTCTACTTCTGCAGCCATGGTGAGCTCCCTGTTCCCAGGCCCTTTAGTGGCCTAGTTCACTTTGGCCCAGACAATACGCTCTTTGAAGTTAAAATAAGCCAGTCTATTTCAGGCTCTTGTCCCTCATGTGGGGAAATCTCAAGTTCTGTGAAGGTCAAGTGATTTTCAGATGCCTCCGACAGCACACGGGTTCATTTCTTCCCAAGGGCTGCCAGTCTACTTAACTACACCATTTTACTGCACTCAGATGAGATAGGCACAGTGCCTTAGATCTGGTGTTTCTTGAGATGCCCACCTAGATATGCTTGAAAAGTTACTCCAAGGGCCTGTCTGAATGCCACCATGGAAAAGGGAAGAAGACATTAGTGACATGCACAAGCAGACAAAAGCCTGTTGCCTAGGCTAGATTAGATTTGCCCATGGGTGACTGCAGGACAGCAGGTACAACCACCATCCATTTTTACACCCAGGCACAAAACAGCTGGATGTCACTCACACCCCAGCTTCTGAATCCTTCAAACATTTTCTAGGTCATGGTATTTGGTACACAGACCACTGGCTGCTCTTCCAGAAAATTCAGATTCAATTCCCGGCACCCATGGTTCACAACTGTCTGAAACCTTAGTTCCAGGGGATCTGACACCCTCTTCTGACCTCTGTTGGTACCAGGCATATACTTAGTGCACAGACATACATGCAACCAAAACAGTCACACACACACACACAAAAAGTTGAAATTATTTTCAAAGCAAAAGACACTAGGGGATGAGATAGGCATAGTGGCAGATACTTATAATTCTAGCACTCAGGAGACTGAGACAAGGGGATTTCTGTGTATTCAAGGCCAGCCTAGGCTATTTAGAAAGTTTCAGGCCATCCCAGGCTATAGAATGATTCCCATCTCAAAGCAACAATAACAACATAAATAAATATCTTAAAAATCTATAACCATTTTCTCTGTCAAAGGGGTTGCCCCCAAAGAGAGGAAATTGGGGTGCTCCCACCCATGTCTCATTTGGAGTCCTATATAATAATATGTTCTTATTTGGGTTCATGAATAGCTTTGAAGAAAGTAAGAATTTTCCTTTTTGTTCTCAGATTTCAGCCCCAGGGAGCAGTTGTTCGTTTTCTAACTATATTCCCCAAATATCAGGATTAATGAATTGACTCTTAAGAGCACTGATTATTCCTGGCTAGCCTCACTTCCCATGGAAATCACTCAGGTCCCTTCCTTCTCCTCCATGCCCGCCTCCTGGACTTGAGTTAGTGCAGGTCAGGGCAAGCAGACAAACACTTGGGTCTCTGGATGTGGTACGTGTACCTAGTGATAAGGGTCTAAAAGCCACTAGGTGGTGGCATGGACTAGGTCCACACTTCGAGGGACATGTGCACTTGAGCAGGATTGGTTTCCATGTCCATCAAGAGAAAGGAAAGCAAAACAAGGTTTTAAAGGAGTAGCCTTCCAGGTATTTTCTTTCTAGCAAATTATAGTTCTTTATTTTCACCAACTAACTAAATCCCAGCTCTACTAGGGCCTAGTCAACATTTCGGGATTAAAGTGACTCCCATGTCCTTTGCAAGCAGTCATGCAGTCAGTGTCTGGGACTCTCTCCATGAAATAAAAGCCCATTGTAGATCTAGCTGTTTTCCGGTCTGTATCTATCTGTATGTGAGTCCCAGGTGGGGGTGGGGTGGGGGGAAGGAGCTCTTTCTGCTGCTGCTCTAATGAGGTCAGGTAGGGTTGAGATCTCAGATAGTACCAAAAAAAGGTCCTGAAGATTCAAGGAAGGATCCTCCTGCCACACTCGTGCTGGATTTGTCTGCCGTAGCTAAGTAGAAAGCACACCAAAGGGGAAGAGCAGTAGGAAAGCAAGCTGTTGGGTATCTATCTGCTCATGGGTTGTTATCCGCCTCTGAGGAATGAGATTGCTTGCTGTTCATCGCACTGGAATGTGAGCACATGCATGCCTTTGACTGACTGAACCCAGGCACAAGGTGATGGTGACACCCCAGCAGGCTGCTCCTCCAGTCCTCTACAATGTCTCCCATTTGTTTTAACCTGTAGGAAGAAGGAGGATTTACAGATGATAATGCCATTTCTAATCTGCTTTGGGTAAGCCTGACTCTAACGCAGGTGGTGTCCTTCTGTAACCAAACACAGTGGGGTTCCCCAGGTGGGTGCAAAATGTGGATATACAACTAGGAGACAGAAGAGCAAAGAGAAGGGGTTCTACCTCAAGAACACTACAGAGCACCCTCAGAGCCAAGGCTTAGAAAAGAAAAACCTGGGAAATTTTATTGGGAAAACTCAAATATTTACATTTATATATGTGTATTTGTGTATATAGAGAGTATAGGGGAAAAAAACCTCATCACATGGAGAGGGATGCGGATACATTCCTGAGCACCCTGGGCATGCTTAGTGGTCCTATGTAGCATTGTATTTTTAATAGCATGGGAGCATCTCAGGTAAGTGCAGGTCATCTGAACAGTGTCACGGTGACTATAATTTTGTCTGGCTCCTTGTGAAATTCTCTGGAAACCTTATCTGAAACATGAAAAAAAAAAAAAAAAACAGCTTTGAAGGAGCAATGCATCACATCACTTAGAGGGGCAGAGGCTCGCTCTGCTCACCCAAGCATAGGTGACTATCCCTGTGGCAGCTAACGTGTCTTCTAATGTCATAGCCCCCATGGTGCCCTGTGCCTTCTCTGTTTGTTTAGGGATTTGGGTTTTTTTTTTGTTTTGTTTTGTTTTTTGTATTCTTAGTCCACATACAGCTTTCATCCAGTGAGGAAGCTGATCCTGTGTCCTTAAATGATTTTTAAGTCATATTTTGAAAATGCCATAAAGGAATCATTTGTGTATTAAATGTTTTAATAGTTAATACATAAATGTATTTAAACTGTTGACAAAGGCCCAGATCTCATCTCTAACTAAATATACATATATACTTATATTGCAGTAATCTGCCATTGACTTATTCAATTACTGTACAACCCTGGTTCAGGTGCATGGGCTGGGCTGTGTGGGATGTTTGCCATTCGGCACTGACACTCAAAGAAAGGGCGTTCTTAGAAAGAACAAAATTCCAATGAGAAAATTAACTGTGAGACAATTCGTTGTTTGCATCTCTTCTCCCCAGCTCACTCCCTGCTCCCACACTCCAGTCCGTCTTCCACTTTTACCTCTAATCCTCTTGCTTTGCCCTATAGGAACCTGTATTTGCTTCTACTTATTCTCCTGCTATGCCTGCTGCCCATAAATACCTGTCTTTTGTATCTGTTAACCAGGTGAGGAAAAGCCTATACATGTTAAGCCTCATTGCAATTTCTGAGTGGTAGAGAAGGCTTCATTTGAGAAAGAAGCAATTCTTCTGTGGCATTTCATGTGTGTGTGTGTGTGTGTGTGTGTGTGTGTGTGTGTGTGTGTGTGTGTGTGTGGGGAGAGTGGGGATTGTGTGTATCTCTGTGTGATCATGTGTGTGTTTAACCCTTTCATATTTTTCATAGTGGGTCAACCCATAGTCCATCCTTCACTCCAAAATTTTAGGTGGATTCTGCAGGGTGAATCCCCTTGACGTCATGAAACTGGTATAAGGAAAAGGTTCACTTTTTCTGTCTCTAACCTTTCACTCCTAAGGCAGATGACCAGAAAACACCAGAGTAACTATGGTTTGAGCTTGTACAGTGCTTTCTTACCAAGCCCACTGTTGGTAAATAATTGGTCTGATCCACATTGTCTGCCACTCACTGGCTACAGGATGGTGTCCTTCCCTGGACATCCTTTATGCCTCCCTGACCATCATTCTTAACCCCCTTATTTTGATCAGTTGCTCATCTTAATGTTTCTATAGAGCTGGAAACAGGCGGTTTCACTTGGCCCTGGTCCTTCTTGTACCTTGATGCTCATTTCTCTTCAGCGCTGGGCAATATTCATGTGTCTAAATGGACTAAGCTTATTTAGGAATTTGCCTTCTCATTGGCATCTTGGTTGTTTTCAAGTTTTGGCAATTGTGAGTAAAGCAGCTATAACAAAAGTCTACGCTCAGTTTTTGTTAAGACACAAGTTTTAGTATTCAGGTATTAAAGGACTCGATTACTGAATCCTACAGTAAGAGCATGCTTGCTTTCATAGGAAACTTCCAGCTATTTCACAGTGGCTGTATCATTTCATGTTCCTCCAACATCCAGTGAAAAGTCCTGTTGCTCAATGTCTATACCAGAATTTAATGTCAGTGTCTTAGATTTTGGCCATTCCGAAAAAATATATCATAGGTTATCAGTTTAGTATGTAAGTTTCTCACAGTCTTTCACATTGAATATATTGTCATATGCTTATTTTCTATCCATGTATTTTCTTTGGTAGTGTATCTATATAGATGGTTGGCCCATTTGTTTCCCAATCACTCAGTTTAAAAAGCCCTTTGTGTATCTTGGATGTCAGTCCCATGTTACATATGTTTTATAAATATTCCCTCCCACCCTGTGGTTTGTCTTCTCATTCTTCTGACAGGGTCTTTCACAGAGCAGTTTGTTAATCTCAGTGAAGCCAGTCTTCCGGCTAGTTATTTCATGAATCATGCCTTTGGCATTCTACCTAAGAAATAATTATATTCAGTCTGGGAAATATAGCATGCATAAGGATATAGGTTTGATCTCAGTAGTGGGGTGAGGCATGGCAGGGTAGGGTTATGTGTGTGATTAAGTTTATGTCTAGATTTTCTCCTATTATCTTATAGGAGTTTTGTAATTGTATATTTCTATGAATCACTTGTAGTTAGTTTTGGGGAATTATATATGATCTAATCTAGGTTTGTTTTTGTTTTTGCATATAAGCAAGTATGCAAATATTCCAGTATAAGACTTCTTAAAAATACTCTTTTCTTCATTGTATTGCCTTTATTCTTTTCCTCCTCACAGTTCAGTCAGGGTAGGTATGTGGGGTTGGTTCTGGGTTTTCTACACTCTTCTGTTGATGTAGTCATGTCATAGTTTCCTGATCCCGGTAGCTTTGTGCATCTTAAAGTGGACTTTTCCACCTTCATTCTTCTTCAATTTCTGTGGCCTGACCTAAGGCTTTTGCTTCTCCATACACATTCAAGGTCAGGATAAGTTTGTTCTATTTTTAAAAGATCCCACTGGAATTTTTATTGGGACTACATTGGATTTATAGATCATCAAACTGGAGAGAACTGGGTTGAACATCTATCCAAGAACATGGGATATCTCCCTATGAATATTTTAGGTTCAAAGAAAAATAACATTTATCAAAAGCAATTTATGTTTTATGACCTCAAATTTTAGAACATGTAAAACAACGTATTTTAACTTCTTAACAGTTTTCCCAGATAAATATGTGTTAACTTGGTTATGGTTTATCAGTGGTCTCAGCGATCAGGTAAGTCCCTTACTTTGCTCTAGCAGTGGCAGTGTCTTCACGTTTCATGATATGAGAGACTAAGAGAAGGAAACAGTGTTTTTCAACTTTGAGGCATCATGCATCCCCTGCTCCCTCACCTACACCAAGGCTGTGGACAATGAGGTGCTGTTCTATCTTCCAGAAGCCCTCAGATGGCCATAGGACCAGACTGAAATCACTTTAAATTCTAGGCTCAGGGCTTCTTCATCATTGTCTCCAATTTGAAATCACTTGACACTGTATGGGAACATGGGTCGAAATCTTTGTTCAGGGGTAGGCAAAGCTAAATTCTTTACCATTGCACAGAAGTCTGTGGTTTGACCTTATTTCTGATACTTAGCATACTATTCTATCATTTCTTCTTTTTACCTTACATTTACTCAATGTAAGGTAAAAACTTAAAAGCCGGGGATTTTACCTTTTAATTTGCTACTAGCCCTAATGGTACCTGAACCATGCTCTGAGTCTTATCTCATCCCTGTGGGTGAAATATGGAGACATGCTGTGATTTCAGCTTGGAGAAAAACAAGCAGACCTGCAGCATCCTGGTAACCTGGATACATTTCACTAATGGTCCTGATGTGTCTGTGGGATGCCCAGCTGCTTCACTTTCTCCTATACCCTCTTTCCACATCCTCTTTCTCACTCCCTCTGCTTCTCTCCCATATTGATGGCATCTGAAAGAATGACTTATAGATGAGGCTGGTCCTTCTGCCTATGTTCTGCCTCTCTCACACCATTCCAGGCTCCTAAGCATCTGTCTGCTAACCCCAGAACAGGATACAGAATTTAACAGAATCAAACAAGAAAAGAAAACTGTAGAGAGAAAAGCAAGACAATAATGAATGCTATTTCAAACTGAAAGAAAAAAAAAAAGAAGGGGACAAAGGTAGTTGGTTTTTTTGTTTATTTGTTCGTTTTGTTTTTTTGTTTTTTTGGTTTTTTTTTTTTTTTTGTCCATACTTTGAGAGGTTTCACACCTTAGGGTGGATTTTATGGGGTTTTCAGGGAATACATAACTGCATATTCATTACTCCTTCTAGAGCCTTGTAAGATCAAGGGGTATGACTAGGGTTTCCCAGGCCAAACATGCCAACTAGCCAAGTTATATAGAAATTTCCAGCAAAAGAAAAACTTCTATATTTAATACTTGCATTTAGAAGGAAATAAAAAATATTCCTTCTGGAAGCTTTAAGTTGAGTTACTTCATCTCAGGGCTCAAAACTTTCATCTTCCATGAAGACTTGTGTGTGTGTGTGTGTGTGTGTGTGTGTGTGTGTGTGTGTGTGTGTGTGTGTGTGTGTGTGACTGTGTATGAATGTGTATATAGACATGTATCTGTATATGTGGTGTGGCTATGTATATGGATGTATTTGACTGTATGTGTCTAATTTTATCTTTCCTTCCCAAACCATGCACAAGTTTGACTAATATGGAGACCTGCTCCATTTAGTACTTATATGTGTACTTCCTAAATGCCACTCCCATGACATAGTGATGCTATGATGAAGACAAGAGACTTGACATTGGCATCGTGTTTACCGAACCCACGTCTGTGTTTGAATTGTGTCAATTTCCCCCAATAATATCCTTACTAAGCCCACCCCTGCACCCATAGCAGGATCATGTACTGCTTTTAGCTGTCATACATTGGGACAAATCTCCACCTCATCTGAATTACCAAGAGTGTCAGAATCATTTCCAGCCATGAAGGTGTGCCGAAGAATCATATTCAAGGAAGATTCATAGATCAGATGATGGGGAAGCTGGCATTTGTCACTGAAATCACCTGTGCTGAGAACCGTTGTTCTCTGTGTAGGTTATGTCTACCACAAAGTAAATCCTGGGGGTTAGATCTGTTATTATCTAGAGCCTTCTCCTCGGCTCCCCTGGCTACCTAACTCCCAGGTGACATCACTGCTGGACTAGACGCCCCGCCCAGTCCTGGGGAATCCTATAATTCACATTCCCTCTAACCAGCTTTCTGCATCATCACTCTGACTTAGATGAGATGTTCTAGACTAACCATGTTCTTTGTGAGCACATACATGTAAACTTTCCTTATGAACTCATTCAGGCCTCAAGAGACGGGTAAAACATGGCAGCTCCCTCTCTTTACTGGTTTTTTCACTTGAGAAATGCTGCCAGGCTGAAGTTCATACCTCCATCATTTCTCCTCTCAGTTTCCTTTCTGTGCATTTTGTACACAGCGGGTCACAGAAAGTCGAGAGAGCCAGATGACGATTGAGGAGAGGAAACACCTCATCACTGTACGAGAGGAAGCGTGGAAGACGAAGGGCAGAGGTGCTGCCAACGACTCCACCCAGTTCACCGTGGCAGGAAGAATGGTGAAGAAAGGTCAGTGCCCATTGAATGAATGTGTCATTGCATGCACATGTGTGCACACATTGGGCACACTTAACCAAGGAGGTAGAATGGCACCTGACAACTCAGTAGAAAGCGGAGAAAGCCCTGGTCCTTACGTCTCACACTGCACTCGTCTTAAGTAAATGGGTTTTGACGGTTGTGTGGAGTCTTTCTGCTGCAGCCTTTGCAGCCACTGCCCTCTTCAGGAAAGGAAGTTTCATTCAATCTGTCACTATTTCAGAACTTACCTGTTTAGAAATTAAGTACAGTTGTAGTTTTCAGAAGCAATTGCAGCTCAGAGAGAGAGAGAGAGAGAGAGAGAGAGAGAGAGAGAGAGAGGTAATTTTAATCAATTATTTCCCACGGTTGCTTTTAAATTGTTTCCATCTTCTTGTAGCCTGACATACATCTAGGCCTGCCTCCCACCATCCTACCACCAAGTAAGCCTTTGGTAATAAAGGCGTGTTAGTGTGATGGAGTCCCTCTTGTCCCCTGCAGGTCACTTCTTATGTCCCTTTGGCTCTAGCTTTGTAAGCTGTGTCTAAAAGATGCTCTGAATTCCAGGAAAGAGGGATGCCCTGAGATCCCTTAGTGCACCAGGAGTGCTAGAACTGTGTGAGGCTGGACCCAAAGATGCAAGAAACTGAGTGCTGAGTCACATGCCACTTTCACTAATAGTCTCTAGAGGAGCTTGGGGGGGGCTTTAATTCATGTTCTGTGGGACATGGTTAAATGTCAGGGTCCCTTCATCATCCATTTGCATGTGCCTTTATTCCTCAAGCTATTATCTAAGAGTAAACTTCCTAGCTAATGGTAAAAGTATTCACATACACTTAGTCTTTGGGTTCTGCCATCTACTTTGTAAGTTTAGCATTTCTTCTCCTCAAACCTTCCCTTCTGAATAGAGCCTAACTCATTCACAGCATGCATTCAACAGATGTTTGCAGAAGGGTTGTGGGGACAGGGAACCTTGGAGGATAATTTCCTTGAATCTTATTAGAAGAAGCCTTTGAAACAAATGTGTTGACCTTGGAATCATCCAAGGACAGCAGAAAATCATTTACTCTCACAGGATGAGGTGGGACCTGGCTTTTCTTCATGGGAGCATGGAAATGTTTAGTCAGGTGTAATCTTGAGCCCAGCCACCTACACATACACACACACACACACACACACACACACACACACACACCTCTCCCTCCCCCATTAACAAGAAGCAGGGGTCTGGGCTCAAATTGATGAAAAGCAGCTGGAACTGAAATCGAACCAGAGCCCAAGTCTTCACCTGCTGGCTCCAACTTGTATCCTGATGGTAATTTGCTTACCATCAGGTAATTTGTTTTGTGTTATTTTATTTTGCCATGTCATCTAAAGAGTCCTAACTGGGCTCTTCCCACTGTAAACTCTCCCTTGTGCCCCGGCCCACACTGACATCAGGGGACACACATTTGCTGGTTTGGATATGGAGTAGTCTATCCCACAGTGAACACTTCCATTCTTATTTTCCCTGCACAAGCTGTGGAACCCTACAGCTACGAAGATTCTCGTCTCACAGTCCAATGGCACATTCAGCCAGGTGCAGGGTTTCATTCTTTCTCCCCAGGAAGCTCAGAGCTCTCCTGGTTTCCTTTGGACATTCTCTCTTTTTTATATTCTTACACCCTGGGTAAGAAGATCTCGCTAGTATTCTAAGAGTGGAGGAAAAACTCAGAGCATGCCGTGGATAAAAGATGTGAAACTATTCCCAGAGAGGAGGTCCTTGTTTATTGCTTCTAGAATTCACAGAAAGAGCTGTGGGGAGACTTTGGTTATTTTAATGCTTTGAAACGTCACCTATATCCCCTGTTGCATTATAGGGGATCCCTGTCCGTAGCTGGGAAGGCAATATTCCACTTTTAAGAACCCTTTTGTGCATCGCGCCCTGACTGGCAGGAGGGGGCGCTACAGCAGCGGGATTTGCCTGGTGTCCATGTAGAAGGGAGATTTTTCTAGTTGCTTTGGGACTATCAGCCTGCGGGGTCAGTCTAGTTCATTAGCTTCAGAGCCAATGGAATCTTCTGATAACTCTCAAGCACCCCATTAGTAGGTAATGACTTGCTGTCTGTCCTTTTCTGTGACACTAGATTTCCTAACATGAAAACTTACTGTCTCATGGACACTGAGATTTCTGTAGGCCTGGCAAAAGAAACGAGTTTAGAATGTATGCATGCATATCTGCAAATGGATATGCGAAGGAATATTGAGAAGTAAAGTGGGAAATTACCAATTGTCAGGCAGACCTGTAGCCAGCCCCTAAGCAGGCGTGGCTACATGTTCCCCTACAGAGAAGTTTCTAAACTGTCACTCAGAACTTAAGTCTTAAGCCACTTACCAGCTGTTGCCCTTTTTTCCTGCATTTTATGCTCTATTTGCCTCTTTCCAGCTTGTAGAAAGGAGCAGAGAAAATCCTTTGTCTTTCCTTATAGATGAGAGTAACTTCCGTGTTCTCTGGCTGTCCTAGGAGAACAGGGTTGTGTCCTCTTACACACACACACACACACACACACACACTGCAAGGATGCAGAGAACAGCAGCAGCTCGTTTAGTTCTTTCCAAACACTACACTGATTTCCCTCCCCAAGTCTCTAAACTCTGTCTGTGTTTTCATATTTCACCTGGGTGCCCAGTCTGTGCTAAACTTCCCCTTCATACCTTTCATGTGCCCCTCAGCCTTTGACTGAGTAAGCACTTCCCACCCTGTGTCTCGGGGAACATACGTTCATTTCCAGGACACCTCAGCCGTGCGAGTGTGCCCTCCCACAGTCCCAAATGGGTCTGATGTGTGTTCGCCTCTCTTTCTTCCAACAGGTCAGACCTCTGGGCTATTTTCCATCCAGTGCTCACAAGCTCATATTGTCACTGCCTCCCCACAGACTCCTGGTGCTCAATGCACTTGTCACCTAGGACAAGTCAGCTTACCCCTAACTTCCTCTGTGGGAGATGACACAAATTTGCTTTTTCCTCTATGGCCCCTGATACCCCACCCCAAAAAAGGCCTTCAAAACTTCACTTGTTCCAGTATATCCTGGAAGCCATGGACATTCTCACTCTTTTTACATGCTGTAGATATGTTTCCCCATGTCTTCACTGTCCATTCTGGAATACCAGTTTGGCAGCTGCATAGTTCATAGGAATAGGAAAATCATAGGTATAGCTGCATTTGGCCTGCACAGCCATGACAGCTAAATTGTGCATACTTGTGTACATGCTCACACTGTAGGTACATGTACATATTCACTGGGTTCTGTGAATTTCCACAGTTAATCTTTAAAATGCTAATCTGTCCTCTTCTGTGTTTTGTAGGTCTGGCATCACCCACAGCCATAACTCCAGTCTCATCCCCTCTTTGCAGTAAATCAAGGGGCACCACCCCAGTTTCCAAACCCCTGGAAGGTACGTCACCCTATCCACACAGCGATGTGAGTATCGGCACAGGGACACCACCGGGGGTACTTACTCACTGACGGTTTCTACTTGTTTAGATATTGAAGCCAGACCAGACATGCAGCTGGAATCGGACCTGAAGCTAGACAGGCTGGAGACCTTCCTAAGGAGGCTGAACAACAAAGGTACATGCCAGAAGGCAGAGGGGAGCTTCAGCTTGTATAAGTACAGCACGCCATGGTCTCTACTTTCCGTGAATGACAAAGAAAACCTAAAAACAAAACAAAACAAAAAAAGTCCTGACACCATGCCACTCTCTCAGATCCTCCAAGTCCTAAGTTTCGTCTTCTTAACTTTTGGGGGTTTTGTTTGTTTGTTTTTCTGTTTGTTTTTTGACAGTTATTTTTGTTATTACTATTGTTTTGTTTTTTGAAGCAAGGTCTCATGTAGACTAGGCTAGCCTTGAACTTACAACATAGCCAAGGATAACCTTGAACTCCTGGTCCTCCTCCCAGATGCTAGCATGTATAGGCATGTACCACCATAGCTGGCTCTCCAAATCCAACTTCTGATTTCTTTCTCTCCTCAGCCAAATTTCTCTTTTCTGGTATACTTTTAGGTATTTACACACACACACACACACACACACACACACTTCAAGTCTGTTGTTATCCTTCAAAAAATGAAATTATAGTCTGTACTAATTAAATTCAAACTCTGATAACACTCGATAACATCCTGAATTTGGGATATCCAATAGTGCACTTGTTACTGACTCCAAACCCTTGGGATGTCATCCAGTCCAAGCATAACTCAATGATTTTGCCTTTATACTGTAAAGCAGTTACTGTACGAATACAAAATCAGCATCCTCCTGGGCAAACTTTGAATTATAGGTATCATTTCTGTTAAGGCAGAAGGCATTTTTTTTCTTATAATGCCAAATAATTTCTAAAAGAAAATTATGGTAAAAAGATAATGAACATTTTAATATAATAGTTGGTGACACAAAAGGCAGCATGCAGAAGTAGTCTTTTCTCTCTTGATATAAAACGTATATAGTCACCAATACCAGGTACTGTGAGTTCCTACTGTTGACAGTGACCCCTAAAGACTGGAAGTTACACAAACACTGAAACCCAGAGCTTTAAAGGTGTAATACAATAGCTAATCTGACTAGGTAAGATATATTAACAATGAAATCTATTTCCATTATCATGGTTAGAGTTTTGTGGCTGCGAAAAATACCATGACCAAAGGGTTTTCTTTTAACTTACAGCTTATAGTCCATCATTCAGGAAAGTCAGAATAAGAACTCCAGTAGGGCTGGAACCTCACTGTAAAGGTCATGGAGAAGTGCTGTTTACTGTCATGCTCTTCATGGCTTGTTCAGCCTGCTTTCTCATAGTACCCAGGACCACCATAATGGGCTGGAGTCTCCCATGTCAATCAAAAATCAAGACAATGTCCCACAGGTTGCCCATAGGCCAGTCTAATGGGAACATTTTCTCAATTGATACTGTCTTCTCCAAAATAACTGTAGCCTCTATAAAGTTGACATAAAACTAGTCAACAGAATGGAATAGCAGTGATCTATCCCATGGTCAGCAGCCAGTGGCCATGGAACTCCCCAGCGTTCCACATGTTCTTGGAAATAAAGTTTTATTGGAACACAGCTATGTCTTATGATTGCCCTGTTGTCTATAACCACATTTGCACCGTAACAATAGGATTGAGAAATGGCATCATAAGCTATGTAGTCTCCCTTAAAAGGTCCCAAATGCTTCCTAGACCTTTGCAGAAAAAGTTTGCAGAATATGGAACAAGGCTAGTAGAAATGGGTCAGATTCAGAAATGTTCACATGCTTGTGTAGGCAAGATTAGCCTGCTTCCTGTCCTGACCATCACTGTGCAGGTGGGATATCATCATATGAGAAGTAGGATGAACCTGGAGCTGGAGGGTAGGGGTGGGGAAGGCAGAGGGAGGACTTTCCCACACTCTGGGAACTTAGAGGGAGACGATTTTTAAAGCAGTGCAAGGAAAGGTCACAGCAAATGTTTCTCTAAAGCTCATGTTGTCTTTGCTCTGTTGTTGACAGTTGTCTCTCTAAAGCTCACAGTGTCTTTGCTCTGTTGTTGATAGTTGTCTCGCTAAAGCTCATGGTGTCTTCACTCTGTTGTTGATAGTGTTTCTCTAAAGCTCATGGTGTCTTCACTCTGTTGTTGATAGTGTTTCTCTAAAGCTCATGTTGTCTTTGCTCTGGTATTGATAGTTGCTGGGATGCAGGAGACGGTTCTCACGGTCACTGGGAAATCTGTCAAGGAGGTGATGAAGTTGGATGATGATGAGACCTTTGCCAAATTCTACCGAAGCATGGATCACAACATACCTAGGAGTCCCGTGGAGCTGGAAGAGGACTTTGATGTCATTTTCGACCCTTATGCTCCCAAGTGAGTTTGAGGATGGCTTCCTTCACTTGCTCTCCCAGTTCCTGTCACCAGAAACAACTTCTGTGAATATTTGCTCTAGAATCAGATGCACATTTCCCCAGGGCAGGGAAAGCACATGTGGTTGTTCCACTGTACTTAGAGGTCTACTGTGCATGCCCTGGATGGTTGTCCAGTCTTGAAAAAGTGTGGCTGGCTTTCACATCACTCAAACATTGTGGTATTTTATACTATCACCACTTAGCAGATGCCCACAACTGTTCCAATGGACACCACTGAACTTACTTATAACTGGATATTTGGATGATATGAGCTCAGGTTAGCACAGCTAATTGGAAAATTAGGAGCCAGAGTTCCTTTGCTTCTAGTGATGTATAAAATTAGCTTTTCTCAGAGTCATGCAAAGGTGTCCAGTGGAATATTATAAAAACTGATCATGCGTTAGGATTCCATCCTTGGAAGATGCCTGAAAAATATAAGTGTTGAACTGAAATCAGAAAAACAAAACAGAACAAGCAAAAAGAAAAGAAAAAAAAAACATCCAGGAGGAATTTAATTAAAACTCAGGTGTGCCCTGAGTGTACGAAGAGCAACACAGTCTCACAAGGCTGACTTTCCATATGTTGGCTTCTCTCTTGGTCAAACTGCAATCATAGGGAAAGGGAAAGAGGGATCCACCTCTAGCACCAAATGAGCAGGCTACTCCATCAACACAGCACAGTCAGATTCACTTCCCAGTAGATCCTGAAAGTCTGGGTTTGGTTTCCACTGTTCCAGCTTGGGTCCTAAGTCTATCCCTAAAACCATTCATGTAGTCAAGGGGACAGATAATGGGTGAGGTGGGCCCCCAGAGGAAGCCCCATACAGCATGACCAGAAGTAGAGTCACTTGTGCTAAGCAAGTTACACCCAGCCACCCACTGCATGGCTCTGTTCTTCCCTGTGCAATTATCAGAGCAATTGTGTCTTCCAAGTGTGTGTTTACTCATGGTAAAAGTTTCCCTAAACTACTCCTCATGTGATGGACTGCTTTGGATATTTTAGTCTGTTCAATTCACCTTCTCCCCATCCAGCGGTCATTGCTGAGGTTGTTATACATAGTTGTGATACTTAATAATCTAAACAAATGTGTATCTGTGCTCACATGCCCAGTAGTTATATGCAAAGAATGCTTCCTGGCAGAGACCTAAGCATTTGACAGTTGCATGTCACCCCAGGAGTCTTCTGGGAGAGCATATCACTGACACGCTACCTCCCCAAGCTGGTCTACCCACACTTGGGACAGTCTCGGGGACCAGAGATGACTCTGGAGGCCTGTTTTATTCTAGTATATTCTTCACAAATGTTGTTACTCTCCGCAGAGAGCTGAAAGGTTGAGTTAATACTAGCTGTGGAGGGAACAGAAAAGCTGTGTGTGAAGAAAACATTTAGTTTGGGCAAAGAGGATTCAAGGAGGTGCAGTGGTCATCTAACAAGGCTCTCAGAACTTGCTGGTGACAGTGGCAGTAGCTGTGTGTATAGTCTTGGGCTCCCTAACCAGAAAGCCTAGCCAGCAGTGGAATGAACTGTCATATAACACTGGACATGCTCCAGACAGAGCACAAGTGGACTGGGCTTCCAGAACCAGAGGGATCATCAACTCAGTAGGCTCAACTCCCCCTTTACCTCCAAGATGTGACACTATATCGTGGCAGGAGTAGTGGGATGAAATCAGGAGGTAAAAATTGTCCCAGGTGTATTGTCCCAGATTCAAGACCTACAAGGTAAGGTGACAGCAACCTGAACCACATCTGCTTTGCCCACAGATTGACATCTTCTGTGGCAGAGCATAAGCGCTCAGTTAGGCCCAAGCGCCGGGTCCAGGCTTCCAAGAACCCTCTCAAATTGCTGGCAGCAAGAGATGATCTCCTTCAGGAATACACAGAGCAGAGGCTAAACGTTGCCTTCATGGAGTCCAAACGGATGAAAGTGGAAAAGAGTGAGTGCCAGGAACTACTGCCTGCTTCAGGCTCTGAGCACTGCTTACCTGTTATTTCCTTTTGATCTGCCTTGCAGGGCCAGTGGGTGTTCAGAGAGCATTCATTAGCAAAAGTGAATTCACACATCACATGTACACCTGCTGGGAGTTTAAGGCTTCTCACTAAAGTAGTTTTTAAATGATGCTGTTTTGCTGAATTGGGTCTAGAGATGGAAGGAGATGTGTGTTTCTGGATTTTGGAATCCCTCCACTTTTCAGCTCTGGAAAACCCACCCACAGCAATTCTCCATTTAATCTTATTCGAGGGTGTCTTAGGAGATCTAATGTGGATGTCCAAATTCACTTATTTTCCTTACCCCAGCATATTAAACCCAGTATATTAAACAATTTCAGATTGGTTCTCAGAGAGGTCCTGGGGATGCTTGGAGTTGAGCTAGATGGGCTAGGGTCGGGGACTTGGAATGGGCTCTGGAATGGAGAATGAGGTTGGTCTCTGACTGTACATGACCCTGAGCTACACATCTCAGCTTTTATCTGGCCCAGGTGGGTTCCATTATTGTCCAACAGTGATTTTCATGGCAGTAATAGCATTCATCATCTTGATACTTAAATATTTTTTGCTATAATCATTGTTTTTCTGTAGCATTCAAAAACCAATTTGCCAAAGTTTTAGTGGTTTTTTTAAGAGCATTTAGTGGTGGTGCATGCTTACAATCCCAGCACACAGATGGAACCCCCAAGTATCAGTATAGTCTGAACTACATATTAGGCCCTAGCTCCAAAAATAAGGAAGATGGAAGGGGGAAAGACTGAAGGGAAGGGAGGGGAGGAAAGAGGAGAAGGGGAAGGGGAAGGGAAGGGTAGAGGAGGAGAAAGAGGGAGAATTTAGGTGAAATAGTTCTCTTTGAATCCCAACAGGTTGACTAAGAAATGCTTTCCAAAAGGCCATCTGAAGTACCAAATAGCATCAGTATTCTGTTCTCAGTGTTGAAAGTCTGATCTTAGTTGAAATCACTGACTGACTTGTGCCCCAGTAGTGACATTTTTAAAACAATGAGTTGGGAAGACATAAATGTGTATTGGCACAATCTTCACATATGCCCCCACCACCTCCACTTCTGTGGGTCTCGGGCTTGTGCTGGTTATGGGTCCACACTGAAAACCCAGCATCTTGTGACTACAGCCTTAGTTCTGAGGGCAAAGGGCTTCAAGATTCCATGTAACTGATCACGTTGATCACAAAAATGAACTAAACCATCCCCATAGGCTGTCACTCTATGCCTGTGAAAACTTGGTGGGAGATGCTTACCAGGGGGAATCAGTCCAGCATCTCTAAGGGGTTAGGAATTCTGAGTGCTGATGGTAGAATTGGATGGAGTGAGTCTAGCTTCTGGTTTTCAGCTGGGTATGTGGTTCTGGCTCACTGACTCAGCCTCCTGCAGGGTGGCAAGTGCTGTGACAACAGCAGCTGATGCTCTCCATAACGGCATTCAATGCTGTACACCGTGATTAAGCATCAAATGGTACAGCTCTTCAGACTTGAGTCCTGTTGGTTAGGAGTCACCTATGTTGTGGACCTTGGCTTTCAACTGAGCATCCTCCCCCACCTCTCTTCACAGTGGCATCCAATTCCAACTTCTCAGAAGTGACTCTGGCAGGCCTAGCCAGTAGGGAGAACTTCAGCAGCGTCAGCCTTCGGAGTGTCAACCTGATGGAGCAGAACTCCAACAACAGCGCCGTGCCCTACAAGAAGCTCATGTTGTTGCAGATTAAAGGTATTCTTCCTAGTGGTCCAGAGGAACTGTGGCAGCCTGTGGTTTCTGTCTGGTCATAGTAGGACTCCTGGCTGCAACCAGTGTTGCCTGTGAGGAGAGGGCAGGCACTCTGAGTCTCCCTTGCTAGGTGCTGTGCTGCCTTCCTCACTGTAGCATCAAGACTCCATGAGGCCAGGACTATTCCGCCCACTGGAGCCTGAGAGTTTGTGAATGTGGACACAGAGCTGCTGAGTGGGAGACTCAGAGTTGGACTCAGTTGTTTGCCTTTCCAGAGCCTCAGCTTTTGCTTCTGCTTCTGGCCCAATAGCCCTGACTCCAACCCTGCCATGCACTTTAACAGATGTGTCTGAAGTCTCCAGCATGGGTCTGTGCAGTCTTCTTGGTTCACCCTACTAGGATAAGCCACTATCCATGCCAGCCAGAGTAAGGAAGCACATCCCTGGGGAAGGACTCAAGGGAATGCAGGACCGAATGAGTATCACCCATCCCCAGGTTCCACTCTCCTGTCCTTTCTGTTTAGAACACATGAGACTTGGAAGAGCAGCAGAAAGCTAGGGCTGTAAGGAGGGAGGGCAGCTTCACTCCTGAAGATGGCCTCTGTAGCTCGATCAAGAGAAGGATGAAGAGTAGTAGCTGCCTCTACCAAGGATTCTGGTGTATTTTCTATAAACCCATTTCCTTGTAATGTATTTAAAAGATGATTGAAGGGTGAGCATATGGCTCAGTGGGTAAGACTGATTCTTATATAAGCAGGAGAAACCATGTTTGAATCCCTGATGCTCGCATAAAAAACAAGCATGGGTGTATTTGTGTCTATAACCCGAACATTGTGGGGCATAGACAGGCAGATCCCCAGAGCTTAATGGCTAGCCAGTCTAGGTAAAATGGCAAGTTCAGGTTCAGCCTCAAGGGAAGAAAATGACTAGAGTCTTTCTGAACCCTATATATCCGTGCAAGGATACAGGTACCTGCACATACTTGCACACACAACACATACAGACAAGTGAGGGGCTCTGATGTGGAAATTACACTAGGTATGCAATCACAGAGTGCTCAGACTCATTGGATCACTAAGAAGGGGGTTGAAAGTGGCACAAAGCAGGGCTTCCCTCCCAAGTGATCCTCTCCATTTGCTCTGGGAGCTACAGAGTGGTGCCTGTGGGAGAAGATCCTCCAAGAGGCATGCCTTACCCTGCAGCACAGCTAGGTGCGAAGCATAGGAAGTAGGCTGTGTGGAGAAAAGGCAGCATGAATGTAAAAGAGGGATCAGGGTGTCCCTACCACTCATCCAAGATTGGAGGACCCTACTACATCCACAGACACGCTAAAATCCAAGGCTTGGAAGCCACTCCTAAGAAGCATGGAGACCTTAGGGGAAGCACTCGCTAGCCACATAAACCCATGTTGCTGTCATGTGGGCCATCTTAACATCCATGTCCTGCTGGCCCTGGGAATTCAGATGGATAGTCTTTATAATGAGAGGTCTGTAGCAGAGATGTGCCATCATGGATGTCTGCATGGTGGAAAAAGTATCCCTCGGCTTGTCCACAGGTAGAAGACACGTTCAGACAAGGCTGGTGGAGCCTCGAGCCTCGTCACTCAACAGTGGGGACTGCTTCCTCCTGCTCTCTCCCCAGTACTGCTTCCTGTGGGTAGGAGAGTTCTCAAATGTCATCGAGAAGGCCAAGGTGGGTATTGAAAAGATAAGATGCTTCTATTACTATGTCCCTTATACAACAATGAGGTATTCTACTAGCCGGTCCACACCAAGCTTCTCAGATGCCTTGTGTTTCATTCAAGCATGAAGGGACACGTAGTGTTTCCTCTGCCAACATTTCTGAAGAAGCTTTTATGGGGTACTGAAGTGAAGGTCTGTGACCTGCATCTCAAGTTTGAAAGCCCTGGGTCTGAGCTGACTCCTGGGTGACCAGCACATCTGTGAAGTGCCAGTGTGGCTCTTTCATGAATATCCCATGGAGGAAGCCTCAGACTAGGAATAATATCCAAAGCCCATGAATTATCAGTTGAATATCATACTCTGAGCGTCATTGGTCCAAAGACTTGATATATCTTCTACAGTTTCAATTTCTCAACTTAGACAACCAACATCTACCACCCAATGCCCAAATCTTTTGCCATGTGTTCATTTTCCTCTGATGGACGGGTGTATCCCTTTGTGCAGACCACACTGGTTTTGCTTCCTAACTCATTGTATCCCTCTCTTTTCCAGGCATCTGAGCTTGCAACATTAATTCAGACAAAGAGGGAGCTTGGTTGTAGAGCTACATATATCCAGACAATTGAGGAAGGAATTAACACTCATACTCACGCAGCCAAAGACTTCTGGAAGCTCCTGGGTGGCCAGACCAGTTACCAGTGTAAGAGCTTGCAATATTTCAGAGTGAGGAGGCTTAAGCATCCTGTCTCCTGGACCCCTCCCTTAACTGGTCCTTTAAGCCAACCACTTTCTAATGTCCTGTCTTACCCCCAAAGCTGCCGGGGACCCAAAGGAAGATGAACTATATGAGACAGCCATCATAGAAACAAACTGTGTCTACCGCCTGACAGATGACAAACTGGTCCCTGATGATGACTACTGGGGGAAGATTCCGAAGTGCTCCCTTCTGCAGTCCAAAGAGGTACCAGCTCCAAGGACACAGCACTGTGCTCAGAGCAGACCTTGTCAGAGAGTTCTAGCTGGCTCTATACTGACTATCAAACACGGCACTTGCTAAAGGATGCTTAATTGCTATTTCAAACCCTTACCACTATCTACAATACTAACAAAGTTCAGAAGTGCCACAGATTGCTGAAGGCTTTTATATTTCACATAAAATATAAATATTATCCCCATGTCTTGAGGTGTATAAAGATTAAAGTAAATTTTAATGAGTCCTAAAGTTTCAAGAATAATTAGTGTGAGTATATATAATTGTATATAATTTACATATAGTTAATATAATTTATAGATTTGTCAAGTATTTTTTCATGTACCGAAGTAAATATTTATTAGCTACATGTATTTCCAGTGTCATTAAATAAGAAAGAGGAAGACACACAGGCCCTTAAACTCCACTAGGTAGAAGCATACTATAGAAAGAATTCAGGGTCGGCACAGTGGCTCAGTGGATAAAGGCACTTGCTGCCAAGCCTGAAGACTTGTTTAGTTCCTAGGTCCAACATGGTGGACAGAGAGAACCAATTCCCTTGAGTTGTCCTCTGACTTCCTTGTATGTGCACATGAACACACAACAAACAAATACATAACAATGTTCTTTTTTAAAGTCACATTATTTTCTTTTTTTAATTTTATTTTCATTTGTATGGTTGTGCTGCTTGCATGCATATCTGTGTACCACATGTATGCAGTGCCCACAGAGGCCAGGAGAGGGCATCAGATCTTCTGGCATTGTAGCCACCAACCACTGTGAGCCGTTATGTAGTACTGGGATTTGAACCTGGGTCCTCTGGAAGAGCCGTGTGTGCTCTTCACCACTGAGCCACCTATCCAACCCCATATTTTCTTTTCTTGACCCTTCCAGCCACTCTGTTCTTTGATTAGAGAACTTATTCATTTACATTTCACACACATACACAAAATAAATGTAATTTTAAGAATGATATGACCTCTGCACCTAGGGGGGTCTTAGAATCTTAGAAGTGTATTCAGGAGAAACATCATTGGCTCTTCAGCACCTGCCATGTGTGTGATAAGCTATCTGTGAATGAATGAATGAATGAATGAATGAATGAATGAATGAATGGACGAGGGACAGAGAGAGGGAGGGAGGGGTAGAGGGAGAGAGGAAGGGAAGGAGAGGGAGAAGCAAGGAAGACAGGAGGATACTGACTAACTCTTAATTTAAAGCTTTGGGTGGTGTGAGTGGTCAGAAGTGTGAACACATCAGCAGGGGCTGAGCCCTGGAATCTGCCCTTGAAGCTCACACCTCCTTTCTGTGCTGTTTCCAGGTCCTGGTGTTTGACTTTGGAAGTGAAGTTTATGTGTGGCATGGGAAGGAAGTCACGTTAGCACAACGGAAAATAGCATTCCAGCTGGCTAAGCACCTATGGAACGGAACCTTTGACTACGAGAATTGTGACATCAACCCACTGGACCCTGGAGAGTGCAACCCGCTCATTCCCAGGTGCTGTTGCTGCCCACATGGGTCTCGTGCAGCACTGCTCTTCCCACAGCACCCGCCATTCCTCCTCACACAGAGGCAGTGCACTTAGTAAATGCTAATATGCTGTGGACCGTGGAGGTCACAGAACAGACTTTCCCTTAGTTCTCATCTAACAGCAGAACATGGAAGTTGTAGTTTCAGGAAGGGCCCCCCACCCCACCCCGGCATCTCAGGTGCTGTTATATAATTAAGAACTTCCCAGGGTTTCCACCGTCCTACCCTGAGCCCTGGACACTTTGTGCTGCTGTCTTATGTCTTCTGTGATGGAAAGAAGCAGGACACTGTATTGAAAGAATGGTTGTGATTTTAACATTCACTCCAGTATACTAGACTTTTAAAAACTATTTGGGGAAATCATTAGAGCATGTATAAACTCTAAAAAACTGTGATTGTGAATTAAAAAAAAAGTATTCCTACATTACTAACTACCAGACCCTCCAAAATACTTTAATACTATGTGTGTCATGTAGTAAAACAGGCATGACATGAAACAGCATAGGACAGGGTGCAGATTTTGAGTGTCCTACATAGTTTCTCCATTTAAAATCCAGTAATGGTTTTGTTAATATACTTAAAAAAAAACCAGACCTGTAATCCCAACACTCGAGAAACTGAGGCACAAGGATCACTCATGAGATTAAGGCCATCCTGGGCTAAATGAGTCATAAGCCAACCTGAGTTACAGAGTGAGAAAGACCCTGTGTGGAAAAAAAAAAGCAAGAAAACAAAAAAAAATAAGTATTATATCTATGTATTAAAAAAAATTAAATCTTCAAGCAAATACTCATTAGTACTGTTAAGAACTGGGATTTTGAAGGGCTGAAACAAAGCCTAGAGTACTCATTTAATATAATAGGATAATGCTGGAACATAGACGCTATGTCATGGCCAATTTATACTTAAGTGTGATATGCATGGGTGAAGGAGCACCTGGCCCACAGCCTTCACAATCTGTGCCACAGAATCATTGGAAGGGCTTTGAAAACATGGGCCAACCAGGTCGAGTCTCAGGAATTGCAGCTGCTACAGGATGGCTTATGTATCAGCATGTCTTAAAACAGTGGTTTTCAACTTTTCTAATGCTGTGACCCTTTAATGCAGTTCCTCAAGTTATAGTGACCCCTCCCACCATAAAACTAGTTTTGTTGCTACTTCATAACTGTAAATTTGCAACTGTTATGTATCAGAATATAAATATCTGCTTTCCAATGGTCTTAGCAGACTCCCGTGAAAGGGTTGTTCAACCCCCAAAAGTTGCCACCCACAGGTTGAGAACAGCTGTCTTAAAATCTCCCTGGGGACTCTAAGGTGCAGCCAAGATTGTGCATGCAGCCCCTTTTAACACACAACCAACTGACACCACTGAATTGAAATGACTGGGCCCTGACCAGCATGCTAATCATAAGGGGAAGTAGATAAAGAGGCCAAAGCCCTGCTCCCAGGGCCATGCCCTTCACCACACGCTACCATGTCTCCTACTCCATCTCACAACATGTAAGAGATTTTCACAGCTGAGGCCGAGTCTGCTTCTACAGTAGTCTTAGCGAGCCCGCAGAGGAAGGTTTACAGCAGACACTCAGCTATTCTCTGAAGCTTAGTGATGGGCGTGAGCCTGGGATACAGCCACCTGCAATACTGTGGTTGCTGTTCCAACAGCTGGTATGGCTGCATCTGGACCCTTTTCTTATCTGCTCCCACCCTGCAGGAAAGGGCAAGGACGACCCGACTGGGCCATATTTGGGAGAGTTACGGAGCACAACGAGACTATTCTGTTCAAAGAGAAATTCCTCGACTGGACAGAACTGAAGAGACCTACTGAGAAGAATTCTGGGGAAGCTGTCCAGCAGAAGGTACAGTGATCAAGCCCTGAGTTCAGACTCAATGTAGAGACCAGTGAAAATGGCTGTGATGGCAAAACTCCTTCCGGGGTACACTAGTGACACTGCAAAGTGATTTCTGATTCTAGTCTCACCTTCACTCCTGTGTCAATGGGTATGCAGGACCCCCATTCTTTCCCCTAAACATAGCCTTCTCCTATGTGCAGTCAGACACCCTGAGATGCCACGAAAGCTGTATTTCTGCCCTGTCCCATTAACAGCTAAAATGGGGCTGGGGATATAGTTCTGTTGTGGAGCAATTGCCTGGTTGGGCAACCAAGCCCCGGGTTCCACCCCCAGAACCACAAAAGGAGAAAAGAGAAAAGCAATCCAAATTGCATGGGGTTGCAGCAAAAGATAACTGCAGCAAAGGGGCAGCTGAACATCTCTGTTCCATTGCAGGATTATTCTAGGGCTGACATCAAACCCTATGATGTGACACGGATGGTGGCAACGCCCCAGATGACAGCCAGCACCATCCTAGATGGGGTGAACGTTGGCCGTGGCTATGGCCTGGTGGAAGGAGATGACAGGAGACAGATTGAGATTGCCACTGTCTCTGTAGATGTGTGGCATATTCTGGAATTCGATTACAGCCGGCTCCCCAGGCAGAGCATCGGGCAGTTCCATGAGGGGGATGCCTATGTGGTCAAGTGGAAGTACATGGCAAGCACAGCAGGTGAGTGAGCACCCATGTTTTCTCTGTTCAGAAGGGCTGGAATGCAACCCCTGGAACAGGGTGCCCTGGGCTGCTCCAGAGCCCTGAGACAATCTAACCATGAGCAGGTAAAGACATGAAGGACAGTGGATTCCTGCAGCCTGGGTGGCCAGGACACTGATGTTTGCTTTCAGAAACAAACACATGCTGACGTACACCTATCCCTCACTCTTGCATTGCCCTTAAAAAGGTTTCTGGGAAAGTCATGATTGGCTTCCACGTGGTCTTGGCATGCGGCCTGTGTGCTGTTTGAAGACGTCATTGAGTACAGCACACGAGAGTGGTTTAAACTGAAACTACATGGTGCTTCCGCTTGGTAGTAAATGCACAACAAAAGATTTGTTTTTAAGTAGAGGTGCTGGGGTGGAGCTCAGAGGTAGAACATTTCCTCAGCATACTCAAGGTATTGGGTTTTAACCTCGGTAAAAATTAGCTCTTAGGGCTGCAGAGATAGCTCAGCAGGTAAAGTTCCCACCACACAAGTATGAGAATCTGAGTTCAGATCCCTAGCATCCACAATAAAGCTGGGCATGCTGGCTGTATCCTCACCCCGGGGAGGCAGAAACAGGCAGATCCCCAGAACTCACTGGTCACGCAGTGCATCCAGTCTGTGAGCTCTGGGTTCAGTGAGAGACCTGAACTAAGCAAGGTAGAGAATGACAGAGAAAGACAACAGACTCTCCTCTGACCTCGTGGCATACATATTCTCTCTCTCTCTCTCTCTCTCTCTCTCTCTCTCTCTCTCTCTCTCTCCCCTCTGAAGCTAGGAGTACTAACTATTCTGTGGTTTTTGGTGCTATCCAAATTAACTATGGGTGTGTATAAATGATTCATGGATGGTTCACAGTTACACTTTGCCCACTCCAAACTATGCAAACATGACCATTTCAGAGTCACAACAGGCGGCACTGGAGTCCAGGCTTAGGCAAATAGTTTAAATACATGGAAGTATTTTGCTAAGCAAAGGGCCCAAAATCAGATAATGATGTTCTGACCTCTTAATGACTAAAGGGGCTTTCTTCGCACCTTCAGATCTCATTGGTAATTTTATCAACAGGATTGGAGTAAAGTAAAAATGAGGTAATGAGACCCTATGGGAACTCCTTACCCCCAGCTCTTTGGGTTTTGTTGTTTTGAGATACGGTCTTGTTAGGTAGCTCAGGCTGGTCTCCAACCCACAGTCATTCTTCCTCAGCCTTTGGAAGCCCAGGCTATAGGCATGTACCATCATACTTCATTCAAAATCTCCTAGTTATCAATATTTATTTTTATTTCAACTATTACGTATGCATTTTAGACATTGGAGGTAATGTGTGTATATGTTCCAGTAAGTGTGTGTCTGTGCTGGTGGGCATACATATTTGCCCCTGTGTGAGAGTATATTAATCACTCAATCACTCTTGATCACTCTCCACCCTGTTTTTGAGACAAGGTCCCTGACTAACCCTGGAGCTCATAGATTCAGCTGCACTGACTGACCAAGGAGCACCCAGGGATCTGCCTGTTCCCCACACGCCAGCGCGCACTCCACAGATGCGCACTCCACTCCCAGCTTTAGTAATTTCTAAATACTTTGTGTTACCTGCAACTGCATTCTCTTGTTGTTGGCTCTTTGTAAGTCAGTTTTCTGTTACTGTGATAAAATGCCTAGAATAATCACTTTGTAAAGAGAAAAGGTTTATTCTAGGGGTTGCTAGCTTATGACCTCCAGCTGTGCTGCTCTGAGCCTGTGACAGCAGACAGGGCACATGAGGGCGGCGAACGTTCCCCCGCACACGCCAGTCTTGCAGTCACAGATGTGCACTCTGCTCACCAAGCCCCACGCCTCATAACTGGGACATGAAAGAGGGAGGTCAGGCTTCACCATTCCATTCTAGCAGCTGGTTGTTTCCTTTGCTCTTGAAGCTCCTCCAGCTGTGGCTGCCATTATTCCTCCACCAGCTGACCCTCCACCAAGGGTGGTAGGAAAGTGTCTGTGTGAACCTGGTCCTGCTCTCCATCACCAGGACTCCCCAGTCACACACTGGAGTCAGAGGGAATTGGCCTCTGCCTGGGATGATACACAGTTCTCTTTGGGGTCCCAAAAGACCATTCAGCCATCTGAGAAAAAGATGGCACCCTGTTTTGACTCAACATATATATATATATATATGTGTGTGTGTGTGTGTGTGTGTGTGTGTGTGTGTGTGTGTGTGTGTGTGTGTGTCACAGACTCTGGGAAAGAGGGCCAGGCTTATTTGCTGCCTCTCTGGTGTCCCAGCTCACCTCCCCCTCTGCCATTGTGTCTGCAGTGGGAAGCCGACAAAAGGGAGAACACCCAGTGAGAGTGGCTGGCAAAGAGAAATGTGTCTATTTCTTCTGGCAAGGCCGGCACTCAACTGTGAGTGAGAAGGGAACATCGGCTCTGATGACGGTGGAGCTGGATGAAGAAAGGGGGGCCCAGGTAAGCTCGGAGAGGGCGTTGCTCAAGGCCTGGGATGATACCAGAATCCTCCAAAGCACTTGTGCCCTGCTTCTTCTGCAGACTCCAAACCCTGCCCTGCACTTCATCCTACCCCTCTGCAGCCTTGTCCGAAATGAAATGAGCATGTAGGTGCTGGATCCCGCACAAGTGTAAGGGCCGTTGTTCTGAAAGGCCTCCTCCTGACCTAAAACAGGAGTTCCCACAAAGCAAAGACACACCTTTCCAAAGGCAGCAGGTCCAAGGCTGACAAGCATTCCTAGGCTTTCCTTGGTGGTGGTGGGGGGCAGCCTTGCTGGGGAACAGTGTGGGCCTGAAAACCTTAGCAACCAAGTTTCTGCTCAAATGTCTCCTTCTGTTATGCGAGCCCCATTATCTTCTCTCTTCATTCGGCCACTTCACTGTGCCTTCTGTGTTTCTACAGCTTAAAAAAAAAAATCACACTGCCATTTTGTTTGCTTTCTTCTTATTATTCTTCCCAATGACCAAGAAAGAGAACCCAATTGTCAGGCGTGTGACCTCAGAGCCTACATGGTGCCTGGCAGGTGCTACTACCCAAATACAAGGACTTTAAGACTTAGAAACTGTTTGAGGGGGAGCTCTTCTGGCATTGGCACTAGGGATCAAACTCAGGGCACTTTGTGTGTTAGGCAGGTGTTTTAGACCTACTGAGCTGCACCCCTAGCCTGGCCCCAAATGTGCCTTTTTAATGTTTGAATGATCTGTGCTCTATGTCGCATCCATTAGTGCCACTAGTTGAGAGCAGACTCTGAAGTTTGGGGAAAGCAGACACTATAGGCAAGTATTTTTACCATCCTGGATGAGTGATTAATTGGCAAGAGCAAGAAGGATGAGAGCAGAGAAATTTTCTCTAGAAATAGAGCCATGCTCACTCAGCTTTCTGCAGTTCTCAGAACTAATTACGTTCCCTAAAAATAATTTTAAGGCCGAATGAATATTTTCCACTATAGATCATATTTCAGAAGTAGACCTTAGCGACAATGGCATTGTAACTTATTCCAAACAGCAGGTGATTTCAGCTGCCTGTTTTCAAAAGGCCAGAAAGGGATATGTTTTAACCCTGTGTTCAGAGCACACCTAGAGCCTGAGCATTTCACTTTTCAATCCAACACATGGGAAATCATCGGAGACACATAAAACACTGCCACAAAATGGCCCTTGCCTGTGTCAAGCAGACCTGAGCTTGATAAGATAACTTATGGTGCAAAATGCACCGGCCTTTCTGGCTAACAGGATGCCCAGGATTCCTGGGCTCAAAGAATGCTTCTTCTGTAAGGGGTGGAGTCTGCCAAAGTGACAGCAAGTGGTTCCACTAGCTCCTCATAGAACCAGAACAGTCAGGGAGAGCCATGTCACCCCAGAAGAGACCACTAAGATACAGTGTGGGCTTTCTGTCATTATGACAAACTCCCCGGGTGATTAACTTCAAAAGAGAAATGTTTCTTTTGTTTCACTGCTGGAGTTGGTTGGCCATGTTGGTTTTGGGGAGGCAGCATGGCATGGCACAAACGTATGTCAGCGTGAAACCACATGGCTCATTTTCAGAAAGCAAAAGAGATGAAGGGGAAGAAGCCAGGGTCCCAAATCCCCCTTCAAGGGCATACCCCCAGTGACCTAAAGACTTTGAACTAGACCTCACCCACCTTTTAGGTTACCACAGCCTCCCAGTGTATGTCCTGGGAGCCGAACCTTGAAGACATGACCCTGAGGAGCATTTAAGACCTGAACTACGACCGATGCTACAGGAGGGGCATCCCCCAGACTCACTAAGTCAGCAGCTCATCCTCCTCACTACTGAGAAGTAGACCTTGTTAAACACATTTAAATCAGCCCTACATAAAAGTACCATGAAAATGCCAATGATCATGTCTGTAAAGAATAGTCTAGGACAGAAAACCAGTGAGTGATGAAAGAAGGTACATAAGGCAGCAGGGAATTAAATTCCTGTTTTCATATTACAGGAAAAAAAAAACTATACTTGAAAATGCTTTGAAAGAAAGTCTATGCATTACACTTTTAATACTGCTTACCTTCAGATGGCCATGGGGATGTTGACTTCTTGTGTCCTGTAGGTGTTGCCCAGACTCCCTGAAAGAGGCAAGTATTATTTCCACAACCTTGATGGCCCCTTCCTCTGACCTGTTTTCCCATGTTTAAATTTGCAGGTCCAGGTTCTGCAGGGAAAGGAGCCCCCCTGTTTTCTTCAGTGTTTCCAGGGAGGTATGGTGGTGCACTCTGGACGAAGGGAAGAGGAAGAGGAAAATGTGCAAAGTAAGTTGCTTTTAGTGTTAGAACTCAGTTTTTGTCTCTTCTCCCTGAAGATATTTTGATAGGAGGGCTTTAAGGGAAGTCTAGGGGCTGGAGAGATGGCTCAGTGCTTGAGAATGCACAGTGCTCTTGCAGAGGACCCAGCTTCAGGGCCCAGCACCCACAGTAATCAGGTAGTTCACAATCACTCATAACTCCAGTTCCAGGGGGATCTCATGCCCCTTCTAGCATTCGTAAGCTCTGCACTCATGTGTGCGTCCATCCACACACCCCCATACATATATACACGTAAAAAGTTTTAAAAAATTAAAACCTTAAAGTAAGTCTGACCTCATACAGCTGTGTCTTTCCCACTGAAAAAATGCCCAATGCTGGTCCAGCACTGCATTGTGGGTATGCTACTCTGCGTAGGGCCTTCCTTCCATCCGCCTTTTTGCGCAGGAAGCTAGGAGAGTTGTCTTGAACTGAATTCTCAGTAACTATCCCCATTTTAATGGAAATTAAAAACCAGTAGATTTTCTATTATAATCTTTTCATTAGCCAGCACCCCACCACTAAATCCTTAATATTTCTGTCTTTAGGGTTTTAACATTTTATGTAAATCTTGGAAAGGTTTTTTATTTTTTTTTTTCTGCTTTGTGAACTTTTGGCAACCTGTCTGTAGTTCTGGAAGGCCTGCAGCTGTCCTTGCTTGGCATGTCTTCAGCCACAGGTCCTGGAATCTCTACAATGTATGCCTTTGACAGCACACAGGGAGCCTGAAGGGCCACTCTTCCCTGCTCCTGACTCCTCATAACTCTGTGCCACTGCTGTCCCCTGCAGGTGAATGGAGACTGTATTGTGTGCGAGGAGAGGTGCCCATGGAAGGGAATTTGCTGGAGGTGGCCTGTCACTGCAGCAGCCTGAGGTCCAGGACTTCCATGGTTGTTCTGAACATAAACAAGGCCCTCATTTACCTGTGGCATGGATGCAAAGCTCAGGGCCACACAAAGGAGGTTGGAAGGACTGCTGCAAATAAAATCAAGGAACAGTGAGTGTTGTTCGTCTGACCAAATCTGCACCAAGGGAATTCCTGGAGAAATGCAGGGAGGCTAAGGGATGTCCCATATGCTTAAAGTGACTCCAGTAAGGGATCTTTGGAACTACAGCCAGGGCTCTGACCTAAGTCCAGGGAGCACACATCTCCACAGAAACCTCCAGTTTGCAGGCTTTTCCAGCTTTCTAAGGACATGCTCACTTCCATAAAAGGCAACCATGGGCCACATACTGTGTTCCTCGAAGGCTGGGGCCGGAGGGGCAAGCTAGCCCAAGAGTTTAGGGCCAGCCTGGGTTATATAGTGAGATATCATCAGAAACAAACAAACAACAGCAAGGTAGATGTCCCCAGCAAGCACAGTCACATTTTGGCTTCTTCCCGTAGGTGCCACTCCCTCTGGAAAATTCAGTTTGCAACCTCTGCTGGTTCCTTGTAGGGTTCTGAGTATGTGCTTACTGGAATAGCAGAATGGAAAAAGCTAAAGAAGAATTGGGGGGACTGTAACATGGCCCTTCTTTAGAAAGCAGGGGACCCCAGGTGTGTGGCACCAGCTGGCAGTGAGTTCTCAGACCCCCAGGCCAGCAGCCCTGGGGCATAGCACTGCTGGGGTTCTCTTCTGGGGCTTTCTTGGTGGCTAAGGTCCTCAGGAGGAGCAACAGAGCCAGAAGAGACCTGCCACTGTATCTCTGCTCTAACTGACAACCTGGGCAGTCTCAATCCTTGAGAACAGCTGGGTTCTTCCCTAAAAATGGAGTGTTCCACTACATACCGTAAGCCCATTCTGTGGGCACTGACATGGACAATGAGACCTATCTGCCTTCCTCCAGGCTTTTCTGGAGATCAGTGCTAGGAAGAAAGGGCAGAGAGAAGGAAGACAACCTTCCAGCAGACAGGCAAAACCAGAGTCTCAGAACATCCTTCTATGGTTGGTGGAAGTGGGGGAGTTTAAAAGATGTTGCATGAGGGATCCAATAGCATTCATGCCCCGAGAGTCTTTTTCATTTGGGCCACTAAAAATGAAGCAAAATGATGACAAATTCATTCACTTATTCATTTGGCAAATGCTTACTGAGCACTTACTTGGTGCCAAACAAGGGACCAGGAAGTCGGCAGTGAATAAACTCCCCTTTCTCCTAATGAAGTTTGTGTTCTAGCAGGAGAGGACAATAAACAGAAAAATGTTGTGTTAGATATAAACATTTACATTGTCTTCATGATATATTATGTACATCTGTACATTCTTCCCGGAGCAAACTTCTTCCAGCACAAACACTGATGGAATTTTTACAGAATATTTTTTCATTCATCAATGAGAATTAGTTAAATTTGTGAGTTTAGTCTTGAATAATTGTATGCTACAGACACTTCCCAGACCTATGTAAGCCTCCTGGCATGTCTTCCATGCAGGTGTCCCCTAGAAGCAGGATTGCACAGCAGCAGCAACGTGACAATACATGAGTGTGACGAAGGATCCGAACCTCTGGGATTCTGGGATGCTCTGGGGAGGAGGGACAGGAAGGCCTATGACTGCATGCTTCAAGGTAATGGCACAGTCCATAGCATCCATCTTCTACTTTTCCTCAATTCACTCACTGATTTTTTTTCACTAGAGACTTATTGAGGTCTAGAGGGATGACTCCACCAGCAAAGCACTTGCCTGGCAAGCACGAAGACCCAAGTTTTATCACCAGAACACATGTAAAATTATAGAGTACAGTGATGTACCCTTAATATCCTAGAGCAGACTGAAAAGAACAGAAGGGCCCCTGGCCCTTGATAGCCAGCCTAGTTAATGAGCTCTAAGCCAGTGACAGGCCCTGTCTCAAAGGTAGTAGATGGCTTTCCTCGGGATGACATGTGATAGTGCTTAGGCCCCACATGCATGCATTCACATATACATGTACACCACATACACAGATCTATAAAAAAAATTTACTAAGCATATGCTGTGAACAACACTCAGTAAATAAAACCAAGGGTAGGTCTCCCAGAGGGCATCTTCTAAAAAAGGAAGCTAAGCCACACACTGTATATGACTTATTTTCATTCGAATAAAGTTCTGTGTCATGAAAGGGTGTGAGCATGGAAAAGATGAGGATTTTTTCCACCAGGAAAAGTGGTACACAGCCCATGGGAAGATGGTGTTTGCACAGTGCCTCTGAGGCTGGTATGACCCAACCAGAAGAGAAGGAAAAGCTGAGGAATTAGATGAGCAGTAACATGACAAGCTGTTGGGTTTGGTCAGTATCCATGCTGAAGGAAGCAGTGGTAATTCCATTGAGACAGTTGTCCCCACCAGATCAGGAGAGTCTTGACCAGCAAGCCCTAGGCCATATAGAGACAGTGAGTTCTCAGCAGTCATGGCTGGAAGGGGAGGCTTCGCAGGCAATGGCTGATGCCCAGTGCCTACTGGGAGATGTTTATAAGATGTGAGAATGTGACGGTTACCAGCAGCTTATCAACTTGGAACCTGAAACTTAAGGATGAACAAGAGAGGCCATCAATGAATGGCATGGCCTTAAGTCTACCCAAAGGAGGCAGGCAGAAGGAGGAAGAGTTGTGGGACCCACGTCCTTCATTCAGTAGCTCTTAACCTTTTCGGGATTCATAGATTCCTGTGAGAAAAAGGGGACAGAACCCTTGCAAAGGACAGAGTAAAGTATGTGTGCAATGTAGGCATGATTTGGGGATTTGATGTCCATGGCCTAAGACTAACTCATAAGCATTTCTTGTCATTTACAAGGCAGTAGGCAAAGAAAGAACAAACAAGACACAGGACTAGATCAATGGGCTGTCAGAGATCAAGAGGGGAGAAGGCGACAAATACAGGGAGACCCAGAATGCACTAGAGGTCAGAGAGGCTGGCAGGGTGTGTGAGTGCCAGGTGCTAGGTGGGAGAAAACCCAGCCCAGAAGCTGGAAGATTTTCTAATTTTTGTAAGATTGAGATATCTTGGGGATGGGACCCAAGTCTAAACACAAAATTCCTTTGTTTCATGCACTGGCTTCAGAATAGCTGTCCCTGTCCACCAGGGTGAAGTTAAGGGAGTGAACATGCCTTCCCGACTTTCCCTAAAATATACATTATTATAATATACAAATCATAAAACAAGCTTCCTTCTATTAATCATCTCTGCTGAGAAGCCAGGGTTCAGCAACTCACATGTCATGGATAACCAGAATTCATGTGTTCCTGTACTTCCTACACATTTCTCAATAAACAGACAATCCGGGCCGGGCATTGGTGGCGCACGCCTTCAATCCCAGCACTCAGGAGGCAGAGGCAGATGGATCTCTGTGAGTTTGAGACCAGCCTGGTCTACAAGAGC